TTGCTTAACAAACTCATATTCTACTCAAATATTCAATCTATGGAAACTGAGCCAATGGAAGGCCACGATTTGGTTCAGCTTGTGGACTTCGATAGCAACAAGTAAACATTGTACAGTTGTTTTTTGTTTTGGTATACTCTATATAAAAATTAGGACCACTAAGTTTATTGGAGGGACACAAAAACACCATCTACATTGGAATTGAATCCTCCGATGCGCCAAATAACACGCAGTCACCAAACTAGATTCGAGCATATAAAGAATTTAGTTGGTAAAGAGTGTACTAAAGTCAAGAACCAAGGTACGTATTCACACATTTTGGGATTCAACCAATGGCTTTGAACTTGTAGATGGTATATACACATCAAAAGAGTTGGCTTTGAACTTTCCAATTAGCTTTTGGCTTTATATATGTTAATTATAGGTCATATGGGTTACCTCGTTTTTCAAAGTGACTAAAAATATTCAAGCATCGAGTAGATCGAGTAGAAAATACATGGTTGATTTCAATTCGAAGAACAAAATAAATAAATATTAAAAAACACAAGGATCACATGATTCAGCATTCCACTTGACAATCCTTATATTTTCTTTGAGGCCACCATCGATCACTTGATGAGAATTATATTGATAAGATTCTTAGGTATAGGGTCTCTCTCGCCTCGCCTGCAGCTTTCCTTTTCTTTCGTTTTTTCTTTTGTTTGTTTGTTTTTGTAATTGCCTTTTGATTTTATTTGTTTCTTGTGGCATCCTGGGTGCAACTATTTTTTCATGCCAAACACAATTTTTTCTTCTGGCATCCTGGGTACTCCTTTATATAAGGACAACACCAACTTTTGTTTTCGGCACAATAATAACAGCTGTTGTGCACCCATTATGTCACATGATTCCTCCCTCTCTTTTTTTTTTTGCTACAGAATGTTGCATGCAATATTAGAATTTTAACTTATTTCTATAATTTTGTATGTTTAGATATATTGGAAGTAAGTAATTAAATCTAATTTTTTTTTTACTAACATTAAATTCTATTTATTATTATGATTATAAAAAGTTGGTTCATTATTAAATAACACAATTTTTTTTTTTCATTTGAAAACTTATGTAAGTAGTTGAATAAAATAAAATTTGTTTTGTATAAGGGCATTTTGGTAATAAAATTGGTTTTGATTCCGATTTTCACAATAGTAAATAGTTTTAATGAGAATTGATTTTATTTTTCATTATGATTCCTAACATTTAATAAATCGTTTAATTAGAATGCTAACTCTGATTCCTTGTTACGATTCATGCTTACTTCAATTTTTGTTTACCCTGTAAACATGTCTTATTAAGGAAAATTTTGAGAATGAATAAAAAGAGGGAGTAATTGGAGAAAATACAAAAAAGAGAGAATTTAATTTATTTATTGTTTTCAAAATAATAAGTAATTACTATTTTACCCTTTTGTATTAACTTCTTTTTATTTAGTGTAATTTAAGTAAGCGTATAATTGGTAATTTATCATTAGTGGTTGACTGAAAGCCTTCTCTTATGTAATGGTATATTATCCCCAAATGGGCTTTTCAAAATTGCGAAACTCTCTCTAGATAAAATTTGATTGAATTTTATTTGCTAAATAAAAAATTTAGTTGAGGATATGTTCTCCATTTTCAAAAGAGTTATTTATACTAATATTTCCTGAGGTTTTCATTGTTCTCACAAAATTCTTGGGGTTTCAGAAATTACACGAACACCTCATGAGGTTTCAAATTGTTTTTACAAAACCCATTTTTGTTGGTTGTTTGTCCAAAAATTAATGATTGCATTAAAAAATTTATGAAAATGATAAAATTAACTTCAATTAATGTATGTGCAATTTAATCTTAATGGCTAACTTTATCATTCGGAGAAATTTTTATATCTAAAATAATCAATCTTTGGACGACACAAAGGGGTTTGGTGAAAACAATTAATTAAAACCTCATATGGTGTTCGTTTGACCTTGTAGGATTTTGTGAAAAATAAAATAAAATTGAAACCTCAAGGGGTGTTTGTGTAAAACTATTTTAAAAGAATTTACGTAGTATTCATTAAAAAATAATATAACCATTATTATGTGTAGAGATGCTCAACTAATAGATGTGAGCCCCATTGTATTGGTGGATTCCACCTCTATTAGAGAGGTGGTACACAAGGTGATATGTAAATGTGGTATGCCTAGCACTACTCTATCCTTTATAGACAACAAGACTTCGATTCTTACCATTAATTAATTATCAATGACGGAGTCACGTAGTGTTATCAATTCATAACATGGATAGGTACAAAAGAGGAGGGCCTTTAGCAAGGTGAGGCGCTTTGACAATGTGTATTCGGCTTCACAAGTTGAGGCTTTTGCAAGGCTTTAGCATGGGTGGTCGAAAAGGATTTTAGTAATTACAAATTTGAGTCACAAGTTGAGTCACAGAACCATCTTGATACTAGAGAAACTTATTATAAATTTCTTGAGTTTGACTGATTACATATGAGATTACAAATTTGTCAAAGAAAGCTAAAAACAATTAGTTAAGTACAACCTAACATGTTAAATCACATTAAATAATTATCAAGCTATTAGGACTAGGACGACCACAAGCATTTCGTACCTATATGTATAGCAATCCAGATTGTGTACATTACTTGACTCATTGACGGTGTGATTACTTAATGATAACAGTACCAAGTATTCCCTTTAACTTGTTTCTTAAGAAACTTATTCACATTGACATCATGATTATGTAAGTGATATGTAGTAAACTCTTTGTAAATCACCAACTTGTTGAAATTTTAGACAGGCATATGTCTTTCGTGTTTCAATAAGGTCTAAGACAAATGCTTAGTGCTTACTGACAAGTGCTTCTGTTGAATTCAAGGGCTAATCGTTAACCAGCTATTTAGTCATGATTGCAGATATAGATAATAGAGTTGCTGAGTCTAAATCATCATCTAATGCGGAAAATTAATTTAATTTCTGCTGACTTTATATACTGTATTTGGTAATCCAATCCAATTAAATTGTAGAGGATCACGTAATACTTAGATACGTAAGTTGGTGCATGCATTACTAATAATGAGTATATATATATATATATGGTACCATGTCTACATGTGAGTCATTTCGATATGCCCTATCACAAAACTCTTTTTTGTTTTGTCGAAGAACACAAAACTCCAACAACAAAAAAACCACAAAAATTTTGTTTTTAGTTTGGTAAGTGTTGGGATAGAAAAATTTAATATTATTGTTTGAATTGGTATTCAAATCCTATGCTTTATATTTCTGTTTTAGCCATAAGATCAACGTAAGAGGATCTTCTTTCAAGAAACATGTCCTTGAAGGTTGTTAAAAAAAATAAAAAAATATGCATATATAGCATAGAAAAGTACAAACTTTTTATTTGTGCTTTAAAAAAGTAATATTAATAAACTTTATAATAAACCTAAAGGGTTAATCTTTGTAAATATCTATTACTTCCTCCCTACTTAACTTCTGCAACATAAAAACTAATCTACAATAATAAAATAAAAAATTTCAAGCACCTAATTTAAATTGATTTCATTGGCCAATCGGGTCTAGTCCAGTGAAAAAAAAAAGCATTGACTTGCAAACCAAAGGTCTCATGTTCGAATCCCCACAACATCATAGTTGTGTGTGTGTGAATCTTCATCTCATGTAGTTTAGAATGAATCCCCATCTCATGTAGTTTAGACTATTACTTGTACTAAAAAAAAATTGATCCCATTAAGTGGTTGAATTAATTATGAAGGAAGTTAAGGTTTCATCTTAAAACTAATTGACAATGGAGGGAATTTTTACCTTCACATTCTCACAAATTGGTAATGTGACTTTGCAGACTATACAATTATAATTTATACCCAATAAACCAAAGCTGATGATGGGCATATATGATCAAGCATTCAGATAGAGATGAGAGATTCCATGGCTATGATTATATTAGTGCTTAGAAGTACAAAATAGTTAGCTTCTACATACTCATAACTTAGCTACCTGAATATTTTACTTTTCCTTTTTTCACAGGGGGAAGATCCCCAATGATGACAGGGTGACAAGATTTAAAAGGGAGCTCCAATGAATAAGCTAGTGCGCACTCAATTTTTATCTATCTGCAAATAAAATCACAAGAACGTAGCTGATAGTGGCACCACAAAAAGTGTGCTTAGGATTTCATTTTGCCGACATGATATCCCCGTAGCCTATAAAATTTAGGGCCACTTTTGAAGTGGCTAATTGGATTTCAGCAGAATAATCTAAAGTAGTGGTGCCATTGTATTATATATATTGAACACTTTCAATTAATTTTTAACTCCAAAAGAAGAAAAAGAAAACTTAAGTATCCCATTACTTGCAAGGGGTAACATTAATTTGGGGATAGGATGGTTCGTCTTCTTTTGCCATAATTTATTGTTTCTGGTGATTGTAATGTTTCTCAAGTCATTTTCTAAAGTATAGGAGGGGGAATTTAAGCAAGGAATGGGAACACTGCCTAGGTCAATTGACCTAATTCAAGCCGGTCTAGCTATATAATATTTTCTAATATGAAAATTTGGTAAAACTTGAATGAGCTATATATGAAATCATCTCTCAGCAAATAGAATCATATATAACAAATGAACCATTTTGCTTTATTTAATTCAGCATAAAATAATTAATGTACAGAAAGTTTCGTCTTAGCAAAACCCAGTAATATGATTACATTTTTACAATATTGTCCAACCTGTCCCTAACTTTTACGTGACATTTTCTTAGGTAGTTTGGTATGGCTGTTTCTTGGGTTGGTGAGAGACCTCTTCATCAGAAAGCAGGTTTGAAGCTCGACCTTCCAAGAATATTCAACACCAGCAAAAGAACTTAAAAGTGAGGCAGCAGACATGGTACTTTGTAACATGTAAGCACATTTGAATTAAACACTACTCTCTCTTCACATTAATATATCATAACTGCATGCTATTAATTATATTTATTAATTTATAGTAGTGCTTAATTTATCCCCCATCTCTAATGTGCTGAGACCGTTTAATTCGACGTCGTTGAAGCAATAATCCATGCCAAAATCATGAACACCGAAGTCCTGGCAATCCAAAAGCCATGCACAATTGTCCTCCCAAGTTTGCAACCCCATGCCATTCTCAATATTAATCTCGTTGCCTCCGTGATCTGCTACTACTTGACCATTGTTGCTCCACAATGCATCAATCAGAGGAGTTTCATCCACCCACAGGTTCTTCATCAACGACTCGTCGTTGCAAATGCTATCTAGCAGCGTTGATTCGTCGCCGGAGGAAGAGTTTTCTGGGGGTGAGCTTGATGAGTTCATGTCCTCCGATCCGGCTGAGTTGGCGACCATGCTATGATCATTTGTAGATTGATGATCTGGCAAGTTATTTTTATGATCATGGGATGATGATGATGAGTTGGTTTCCTTGCTGCACCCCAACTGATCTTCTTTGTGGAGGGGTTCATGCGTGACAGGATCAATTCCCATCCTAAGCAGTTTTTTCTTGATATGGGTGTTCCAATGATTCTTGATCTCATTATCAGTCCTCCCTGGCAATCTGGCTGCAATCTTGGACCACCTATTTTTATATACCCAAAACAAGAGCATAGCCAATATGTTAGTAAAACTTGCACTAGAGATCATAAGCTTAATCATGCTCATAAGTTATCAACTAATTAAATGCTAGGATGTAATTAATCAGAGAACTAGCATAAGTCTATAAGCAGGTAAAATCTTGAGGGATATACAATTTGTTACGGAGACGATACGTCACGTATTATGAAAAATGTGATGAGTAATATGATTAGTAAATATGGTACACGTTAAATTACTATTCTTTGAATATAAAAAAAACAAATATATGCTCTACCAAGAAATTGAAGGACCATTTTTTTTTTAAACGTGTCAACCAAAGTTTCTTTGTCTTGTTGAATGCATATATGATACTTTTCAACTTTATGACTGAAAACAAGAAAGTAGAAACCAAGCTTGTACCTCAAGGAAAAAGAAAATTAAATAATTTAAATTATTATGAAGATGAAACAACCTTGTTCACCACCAAACACCATTAGTAAAATCGTTAACATGTACGGATCAATATGCTCCTAAACACTAACGTCATGATTAACATGTATCCATGTAAATGAATCAAGACCACAGAAATATATGAATAGATGAGGATGACCTATTTCCAAGACGAGCATGGAGATCAATAACCAACTGTTCTTCAGCTTCAGTAAGGAGGCCTCTCTTCAAGTCGGGCCGGAGATAGTTGGTCCAACGGAGTCTGCAACTCTTGCCGCACCGGCGAAGCCCGGCGAGCTTAGGCACAGCTCTCCAGCAACACTGGCCATTAGTGAGAATAAAGTTGATGAGCTTCTTGTCCTCCTCAGCTGTCCATGGCCCTTTCTTTACCCCAAGTTTGTCACAACAAGGTTGCCGTCCCATACCACTAGCTAGCTAGTACTAATTAACAAAACACACCACCAAATATACAAACAAAATCTGACCGGAAATAAGCACCAAGCACTCAATTAGGCTCACCAATACTCCTTTTAAAGACCCAAAAGCCCCACCCCCACCTTTATATAAAGTCGTCAGTCCTCACCTTTCCCATCCTCATGTCAAGTCCAATAAAACTAATTATCAATTTACACACACATTATAATATTTTAAGGGGAGAGAGAGAGAGAGAGAGATTTTGGGGTCCACCATTGGGTTGTGAAAGGGATGCAGGAACCACATTGTGTTAAGGTGTGTCTGGCTCAGAAAATGGGTGATGGTGAAAGATAGGTGACCTAAAGGGAGAGGGGGGAAGAGAGAGAGAGAGAGAGAGAGAGAGAGCGAGCTCTACATATATGTAATAAGCATCCAAAAAATTTCTTCCCATTTTCCTACACAAACCCATTGCCCTTTGATTGCACTCTTACTCAACCATTCCATCATCCATTTCGTCATCACTACGTCTACGTGTCCTTATCTTGATGGAGTATGATCCGGTGTTGCTCTTTTGAGTCTTAATAGAGCCCAATTAATCTTGCTTTACATTAACAACATGGGGGTTTTGATCTGTGAATCTATTCCAAGTGCTTTGTTTTAATTCTTGATTTTGTTAATTAAGGGAAATTAGGCACTCAGATGGGGTTTGATTATGTCGACGAAATCATGCTTACCCACCTAAATGTGTATGTGTGTATATTGTGTCATCTTCTTCTGCAAGTTCGATGACTTGCCAAGTGGCTCTAGTTTCTGAACCCATAATGAGCCCCTTTTTCTATGTGCATGCTCATTCAACTGCCCAATTACGGCATACCACCACCTGACAAATCTCTAGCGTTTCCTAGAATTTGGGTTCAATGTCATTCAGTGGACTATGATTATTTGACCTTCCTAAGCCACAATTTTTAACTCTTGAGAAAATCTTAAGTGTCAAATAAAAGAAGAACAACTGTATATATTCCAAGGAGAACGTGTATCAACGTATACATATAAATAATTACGGATTTTTGCGCTAAAATATGTAGCCCTTTTTCAAAACAATTATTCAATAATAGCCTTTTCCCTCACTGTGTCTCTTTGTTATCCTCACTAGTACATTTTTGTGAGAAATTATAGAATATTACGGTAGTATATATATCGCCTTTTTATTAGAAAGGTGGCTATTTTGGAATAAATATTTTGAAAAATAACTATTTTAGCTCATTTCTGTATATATTATTTGCACATAAAGTTGGACCATAAGAACCTTCTCCACTTAGATTTTAGGTTGTAGATAAAAACTGAATCAGTAAAACCTAAAACATAAGTTCTAAACGGATCCGTATGAACAAGGGCCACGGATCTCCTAGCCACAGTGAACAGTATTTATTGAATAAAAAACTAGAGAGAAAAAAATGTGCTAAAATTTGTTGCGGCCGATCAGTCAACACCACCTTCGCATTTGGGGAACTTGAAAATTCTTGTGCATCAATTTGACCACGTTTCTATACGTCTAGAAGCATGATTAAGAACATTATAACCTTCGTAGTGAAGCCGTCCATGATTTTCAAAGTATCATTTCGCAGAGAATGCGTAGATTCATTCATTTCCCAAGAGGAGAAATCAAATTTTGGTCAATGCATGCATTTCACTTTAGCACTTTCGCATTTGACAAACATGTCATTTAGTGTTACTTTCATGAAAGATGTAAGATGAATGTAATCAGTAAACATAATATTAATAATTTATTGATCGATAATCATTTTTCGAGTCCCGTCTCCTTAAAAATTACTTAATAAGTATACCATTTATCATCACAATTTTTTATTATCAAATGGAAGTCCTCATCCCCATCCCTAGACATAACTATCCAATATTCTTGAACCCTAGCAAATCTTGTTTGATAACTACGCATACATGCATGTGTCAATACATCAATACGACCAGACAATTCTCTCGTACAGATCTATATGCGTGAAGATCTTAGCAAAACAGCTCACAAGAAATGATTTACCACTTTTGGCACGGACCATGGATGTAAGTGTTTATGGTTATACTAACACGTACTGTTAAGTGCTACATATCTGCCACGCATGCTTCATTTTGGAATATAGTTCAATTCCAAAACCCAAGTTTTATGTCAACTCATTGGATAAATAAGTAAACTGGATGACGTGTCTAGTTGATGCAATCTGGTGGATGATATTGCCCGACATCTAGTAACAGCAAATTTAAGCTTGACCTTATAGACTAGGGGTAGTTAATTATCCAATTTCTTGGTCCTTGACTTATAGCTCTTGGCTTAGTTAGACTTAGATGCATATAGTTCCAAGAAGTGGACCCTTTTCCTTCAATGACTCAACTCCACATTTTCATTGCATGTGTGTGTTCACCAAAATACAAGCTACAGATGCGTCATATATATACATGTCCGGACCAAATTAAGTAAATTAGGTGGCAATTAATAATGTATCTTCTTACTATATTTATCCTAATCCTAATCTAATACCCCATCTTTTAATGGCTGGTTCGCTTGAGGGCGATCGAAGATTATTGTCTCTACTCGCCCTTTGTCTACTCGTGAAGTTTCATTGATGCTATTTTGAGAAAATGTGTTATGAGAGCAAACTGTTTGATAAAAGTCATCTCTGAGAGAGGTTAAGGTAGGGCAATGAGGGATGTGGGGCTGCCGATCAACTGTGCAAGGACCCATCTTCTTTGTTGTTTGATGTGTATATGAACGGTGTGTGAGATATGTTTAGGAAACTAATCAAGGCATACACACACATCTATAATTTGTCTCTATATAACTAATTGCTTTCATGTCGCAATTCGGTCTACATCTTGACCCCATTAAGAAAAATTCATGGATCCGTAACTGTGACATTCTCTACTGCTCTCATCACACACGACCAATTGTTATCTCACACACATCAAATACTACGTGCTCTCTCAGTTAAAACTCTCCGATTTGTGGTTCATATCGGGTGACCAAGTAAAAGAATGAATTTATCCAATCGAACATATGTCTCCGCCTGATTGGCTTTAGGCTGCCAGGTGTTACACACCTGGGCAATTAAATAACAAGTCTCGTATAACTTGCAAGGCACTTAACGTATATTTTATTTTTTACTTTGCTATCTACTCATTTTGTTGTCATGCAAACACGTATTGCAAAAACCACATATACATACAAACATACCTCACCCTCAAGGAAAGCGAACTGCCTTCAAGTTCAAAGGCAGATGCAGCTAGCCTGCTGCTATAGCTTACCTATAAAATGGGTGAGTAAATCAAATTCTTCCATTTAATTTTAAGGTATAGACAGGTGGAGACTTATATTATTTTTTAATGGTTTGTTTATTAGGTATATGAAAACAGGTGGGTAGTGTGGCTAGAGAGAACTCAACAAAGGGGTGGCATTGCTTGTAAGTGGGGATGAGGACATTAATACTGTAGCAGTTGAGAGTTCATGATCACCTCAACGACCAGAATTTTCCAGTATGTTCACATATCACAGTTCCTTCCATATTGGATTTCTCTTAGCTAGTCATTTAATAATTTCCTTTTACAAGTAGCAAACAATTTTTCTTTATTCAAATTTCAATTTCACGTGGTTAGTTTTGTTTGATTTATAGAAATAACCACGTGGAACACGAATGAAAATTAAAAAAAAAGGAACAGAACGACAAAAGCAACATACACATGGATTTGGTATTATATGTATGTGACAGTTTAAAAATATGTAATTGATTAAATTGTTTATGGTAACACTACAAATCCATGCACCTTTGTTGGCGATTGAGAAAACCTATTTTTGTCTGATAAAGTTGCATGTGTGGCCTTATTGCTAATTATATTATGTGCTCATTCATTTTTATTAAGAACTTTACGTACAATTCTATCAATGGGGTCCAACCCAATGGAAAAGAGCCTTGATTTGCAGATCAAATGTCTCAGGATCGAATCCCTATGGCATCATAATTGAGAGAGAGAGAGAGAGAGAGAGAGAGAGAGAGAGAGAAATCTCTCTCCCCTGTAGTTTAGACTGTCACTTTAATCCGATATCATTTGATCACTCAATTAAATTATTGAAATTTTAGTACTTTCTTGAAGCATCATGTTCATTGATTTTGTAGGACACAATTAGATGTCTAAACAGTTTCCAATTTGTTTAATTTTTTGTAAGGATAATCTATGAATGAATACCTAAAAAATAAATTTGAATCATTGAAAATAAATTCGTAGGGTACCTTAAAAAGCGTCATTCAAATAAAAATATTTTAGGGATCCCTTATATATATGTGTGTGTGTATGATAAAATTGGATTCGAGAAAGAACTAGAACAAAAGTGATTACCCTAAATATGTATGTTAATTTTGCTTAGCAAAAAACCCTAATAATCCCCAAACTTGAAGTACCGCATTTCCCACCCGAAGTTTCGAATTCCTCTCGTCCCCTAGTATCACTTCATTTGTATAAAAAAAAATGTATTGGATTTCCTACACCAAGATTTTGCTATTTAAATTTCCTACGCTAGCCACCTTTTTGCTTGAGGACAATATCTTTATGTTATATTGCGAATACCCTTTTAATGTGTTTATTATTTTCCAAACACTATTTATTTAGAGCATCTACAATTATACTCCTTTTTTTTATAGTTAAAATTGAGCTAAAAACACTAGAAAGCTATTTTATGAGCTCTCCATAAAATTTCAACTACAAGCGTACTCTTTAGTTTAAGGAGTTATAAATGTTTTAATTCTCTTTTAATTCAATTTTTGAATAAAGTGAAGACGAAAAAAATAACAACAAATAATAATTAGCATTAAATAAATTATAAAGATAATATATTAAAATAAAGAAACATTAAATTATAATGAGCCACTAAGAGTACTTTCACTATTCTCATATTTAGAGGTCTCCTTATTTTAGGAGGTGGATATGGAGTATAGTTGTGAGAATGTGAAAGTAAAAATGTCATATATTGAAAAGTTAGAAAACCATGCAAGAGCTTATAAGGAGTCGGGCTACTATCCCCCTCGTTGCCAATTGATTTTGGTGTGGAACATCAACTTCCTTCATGATATCAGAGCGAGTTGTAGATGCTTTTACGTAAACACACACAATCACTATCCCACTAAAATGGAGACGAGCATCCAAGGAGCATATAATTATGGCTTCAACACCATTAAAACCATCTTAAAGCGACTCACGAGCTACCGAATTGAAATCCAATATATTGATTCAACTATTTTCCACAAATTTTGAATTTCTTGCTAACATATTTTCGAGTCTAATCAAAAAGTTTCAACGAATGCGCACCTAATTCAGCAAATAGTAAGGAATGCAGTCGTCATTAGATGTAAACGAAACTTAAGCTTCATTTGGGTGGAATGACTTGAAAGAAAGACTTTGAATTTAGATGATAAGACTCGATTAGTTTTTAAAAAGAAAACGAATTTTGTATTCATAAAAACTTGTGGAAGAGGTGCAAACAAAAACTTTGGATTTCAGGATTGGATTTACACTAGCTATCTTAGCACACAAACTTGAGAACAACAAGGCACTGCGTCAGCCAGCCAACTGAAACGGTTAAGCATTTCCATTGAAGGTAAAACTACCAACCAAAGTATAAACCGACAGTTGGTGTGGTCTAAATGACAACATCGACACGAAGACATTCTGAAGGTTTTTTTTTTTTTTTTTTTTTTTTTTTTTTTTTTTTAATTTTTATTTGTTGATGTAAGTTAAATATATAAATACCTTTTAGTCTAAATAAAGACAATGGTTGGTAGAAAATTTCCAAATTTGTTTGATAGGACCTATGCGACTAAGTGGGAATAAGGGACTAATTAAATTATGGTGGAATGGACTTGTCTTCTAATTAATTTGATTGTACTCACTTGGTATGTGGTCATGAACCTTTTTTTCTTTCTTTTTCTTTTTGCTTTTTTGTTTTTCTCAATGGGCATGGTGAGTTATATAAATTTCTCTTGCAGCACAAATTCGTATAATCTTGATTCAAAACATTGAAATCTTACAATAATGTAATAATAAACTATTAATTATACATTTTGTGGTTTTGTTTATATAAGTAATAGTCTAAATTAATTTAAATTAATCCAATCAACAGAAAATGGGATTCAAACTTGGCTGTAAAAAAAAATATTGAATACAAGCGATGGTCTAAACTATAACGGGGATAGGGGTTTTTCACACACATACACACTACTAAGGTGTCATGGGGGTTCAAACATGAGATCACTAATCTACAAGTTAAGACATTTTTCCACTTAGCTAGACACCGTTGGCAACTTGGCTGGAAGATCTAGTTGCCCATTTTGTGGTCTTATATTGCACAACGTTGATTAATTCTTTTTGTTTTTATTACAAGCGTTGAGAAAGTGGTGAGAGACCCAAATGTGAACTAGATAGCTCACCAACGGTGTTCATATTATACTGCGGTCCTTTCTAAGCAAAGATGATAGCTGATTGGTGCTCAAGAGTCTAAAGTCACTTTCCCCGAGTAAAAAGTAAAATATATTCCACCCCACTCGCCTTCCACTGATAAAAAGTGCCCTTATACTTCCACGCGTTGTCTCGTGTCTGGCGGACTGGAAACAAAAACCAAAGTGAAGTTTATGGGACACTTGGGATTGGAATTGGATTGGATTAAAAAGAACGCAGGATTGCAAAAGATAAATATCATTCACTGACACTAGTTTCCCGAACCCATATCTCGACTGAAGTAGTTGAATTACGTATCCCACACTTTTATCCTAAAAAAATACACATAATAGGATTATGGTAAGAGTGCTTTATCCTATTCATATTCATCTTTTAGCACCAAATATGACGTCCGATCCTACTACTTAGTACTTACCCTACCCACTAAGCGAGAGGGTGGAATATATTTATCTCATTTGGTGTACACTGTAAGAAGCTCAAGGAAAACTCTCAAGACACCATTAATTAGATCAGCGCACCCAATTACTCGAAGTAAATTTGTTGATGTCAAAAATTGGTTAACAAGGTCCCCTACACATTAGAGATATTTAGTCATATAACCATTCTTAGCACTAATTATAAACCCTATATTTAATTTCCTTTTGAGTTCTGGGCTGCTTCATCTATGATCACATAGCATCCATCAACCACTGCACAAAATCCCCAAATTCCAATACTCCAGCAACTCAAATCTACAATTTGCATGCTTAAAACCTAGACATTTTAACCCTTCTGTAAGAACCTTAAGAACAAAAGAATCTGAAACCCTTTTCAACACTTCAGTATATATGATAAACTTGCCCAAGGCAACCAATGATAATGCGGGGTTAAACACGGTCATTCCATTAGAGTTGCTGTAAAAGTAATGGTAACACAGCTATAGAATTTTAACAAGCTACCGGACATGAAACCATCTTGTATAGCACAATGTCACGCACCATCTCAAGTCTTGAAAGTTCATCTGCCAAAAACATCATGACAACTCGGAAGCTTTCACTTGGGTCCTCCAAATTTGCTCATCATCTTTTCAATTATAGGAGCCACCTTGGGATTTGCTTGATGCTTTGCAAGGTTAGCAGGGTTCTTCATTACTGCAAAAGAAACAGCCAATCAACCAATTACAGTCAGGCGGGCACATAGCAAACTCCAATGCTACTAATCAGGTCTGTATTCCCTAATCCTGTAACACCTAGCATTTCTATCTCCGGCCTTTATTTTAGTGAGAACATCAACAGCTAGTTTAATGCATGGCAGTCTTTCTAATTCTTTTCTCTTTTGAACGACTAGAAGTATGACTCCACAATCTGGAAAATTAAATATTCCTATTCAGTTCCATTCTATAATGAACATCATTTTTAACTTGTCAATCCCGTATTCAGATAAATTAGTTACCAAAAAGATTTCTGGACATGATCATTAAAAAATAAATTAGGAAGCACAGCAAGCAAATGAAAGACCAGATACTCAATTGGCATCTATCAGAAGACAGCACAATGATTCCACAGAGGAAAGCTTAACAGTATATTTTATGAATATCAAGAATAAAATCAATAAGAAAAAATATGATCATCTGTATGTAGTTTAACAAACTATTTTAGTTGCTTGCTGGATACCCCCCACTACTACGGTAATTGTACTACCTCACTTCCCATTGCTTTCCTACTTTTACCTTATCACTTCTCTCAACCAGCCCACTGTCTTCCTTCTGGTCTTACTTAACAATTGGCATAATTATATTCCATTATACATATGATGTATTCAATACTTCAAAATAAAACATACCACGAATAAAAGCCTAAAAAACATTCTTTATTAGTCTTCTCTAGTAAACCAGAACTATGACATTGCAGATGCTGTTGTGGAAGCAAGCAAAAAACATTATATAACACGACGAATCATGAACCGTCCTTCATTCACAGAATGTAGCTTAAACAACTGAAGGATTCGAGCGTTCACCCATAAATTTAACTTCTTATCATTTGCACATTTTATTGTGTTTCATTTCACAAAAACAAGTTCATTTGAATTATAAGTTTCCATGTTTTGACATAACCAGTATAATCACAACCAGGAGTTTATGGATTATTAGTCAACAACTGGCCAAACTCAAATATCAATAGAAAAACAAAGTTATAAGAAGAGACATTACCATCTTGAAGAGCAGCCATGACTTCTGGATCACTAAACGCAGACATCAGTTCAGGGTCCTACAAAAAATTGCAACAAGGACCATTTAAATTTGAAAATTGCATTTCTGACCTTTTTCAGCCTGAACATTGCTTTTTTCTGACTCGAGAACTCAATTGTTCAATATAACATAGAGAAGAAGAGAAACAACAATCTATGTCATAGTAGGTTAATACACAGTAAACAGCACTGCCAAATGACCAATAAAACCTAAATCCTTGGCTTAAATAGAAATTCTTAAATTATATAAAATAATAGTTTTCTTTCCTGGCTTCATATATACCAAAGTCAACAATACATAATCACTAATTTCAGGAACACATTTAAAATTTGAATTCAATCAAGAACCGACATACTTACATTCAATATTTTGCTAAAATCGACATTTCCGGGCACCCCTCCTGGCGTGCTACCAGGGAAACCCCCAGGTGCACCACCCCCAGGCGCACCACCCCTAGGCGCACCTCCAGGTGCACCTCCAGATGCTCCTCCTGGAAAGCCACCACCCATGCCTGCTGGGAAGCCTCCAGGCATGCCCCCTGGAAACCCTCCACCCATGCCTGCTGGGAAGCCTCCTGGCATTCCTGGAAAGCCACCAGGCATTCCTCCTGGAAACCCACCAGGCATGCCTCCTGGCCTTCTACTAGAAGATGACTGCTCTTGCTTCTTAGCCTTCTCATACGCAGCCTTGAAAAGAACACACAAAAATATCTCAATCAGCAAGAAACAAGATAGCATAATCTTTTCAAGGGAATGAACTTCTAGATAGTTACCTGAGCTTCAGCACGGCGGCGTTGTCTCTCGCGTTCAATCCTTTTATCCTCCCTTTCTTTGCGAAGCCTATCATACTTCCGACGGTGTTCCTCAATCCTGTGCACATTTGGTTCAACCTACACAGTTGAGGAGTTGACATTAGAGGGAAACACAAATCCTCAAACACAAAAATACACAATCCAAGAGTTGCAGTAAGCTAAAGCATGTAAGCACGTCATATTCTTCCACCATTGTGTTAGTCTTTTCTTTTTTTTCCTTGCTCTCCCATTAGAATTCCATGTAAGATACCTCATCTGTGAACCATAGCCATACTCTAATAACATCGAGTAATTGGACTTCACAGATTTAACCCTCAATAACATCAAGTATTTGGGATTCACAAATTTAATTAGTGATACAGTGCTCCTCAAAATACCAAATCCCATGGTTATTCACTAAACCAGACGTGGCTGGCAGTTTATTTGGGTTCACACAATAAGATACACCAGTAATGCATGATAAAGGACAAATAAAGGCAAAAGGCAACAAACTTATCTATGTATGATAGACGATAAATAAATGCAGAAGTACAAGAAACAACAAACTACAGTTACTTGATAAACCAGAAGGATAAAGTGTGAGAGAAACCTTCTTAAGTACAGCACTTATTTCTTCATCATAATCTAACTTTGATGCCAAGTGAAGATCCTTGGCAGCCTCTTCCCAGTGACCAAGCATTGCTCGTGCTATGCCGCGAGACTTGTAGCCTTTAGCAGAGTCAGGATTGATCTGCGATAAAGATTACAAGTTAAAATGCATGTTCACCTTCTCAAAATGTCATGTTACATTTAGCAAGTAGATAAAAACTAAAATCCCAAAACTCATGCAAGCAGAACTATACAAAAGGCCACAACTGTAATGAAATGAAATTATACGACCTAAGAACACATATTTTATTTTCATCTGATTGTAACAAGCAAAGCAGGATGCATAACGATGCTGACTAACACACTATGTTGAACTAAACACTTCACCAAGTGAGCAAACAACACATGCACAAAGCCTATATATAAACAAATGTAGATTCTACAAGGGGAAAATCAGACATCATATAACAACAAACAAGGTGTAGGACAACAACCTCCAGAGCAGCATTGGCATCACGAATAGCAGCATTAGGTTTCTTCATTTTGATGTACACACTAGCTGTTAAGTAACAAATTAAACAGAGTTCAGAACCAAACACAAGGAAATAAACTTTCAAATTCAAAGAAAGAAAACAATACGAGAACCAAAAGCTCAGACCTCTGGTGCCGTACATAATTGCTGAAGTAGGGTTGAGCAAAATTGCCTCCGTGAGATGCTCAATCGCTTCCTCCAAGTTACCTGCATTGCATAAAGTCCATCAAATACTCAAGCAAGCCCTCAATTCACAAACGAACACGCACTATATAATTAGTAATATACCTTCTGAAATGGCCTCGACAGCTTTGGATTTTTCTGCCTGAGAAGCCTCGCGGTTCTCATCACTGACCTCAACCGACGCGTCTCCCATCTGCAAAATCATCCAAGCCATAAATATACAAAAAGAAAAAAGTTTGAAAATCATTCACATACTAATAACTAAATCACTAGAACTCAAACTAATTGAAAAGTAACCTTCTGAGGAGGTTCGTTGTCAGGCTCCACAGTGTCGCCCTCGAGTTCAACGTCAGATTCGATTATCTCATCTTCCTCTTCTTCTTCGACATGGACTTGAGCGGCTTCAGCGTCCGCCATGTCATCGTCGCTCTCCTCCACCACATAGCTCTTCTAAGCTCGCAAAATCCCTCAATCAGAACGCACACATATAGGGCATACAAAATAGACATTAGAAAGTTAGAGAGAAGAGTACCGATTTGGAATCGCCGTGACTGTGAGAATGGGCAGGGATCGTAGCGCCGAGACTGAAACGAAGAAACGAATCGATTTCAACTTTTGGGGAGATTTAACAGCGAAGCAGATATCGAAATAGTTTGTGTAAAACAATTGAAAAAATAAGAGAAATGGATTTTTACCTTTCGAGGTAGTCGCGGAAGAACGAGAGCGAAGGATCGCTAAGAACGCAGGGATCGGCCTTGCACTGTTCGACGAAATGCTTCAGTTGGTTTAGCTTCGCCTCGTCCATTGTAAAAGCTTGAGAGAGAGAGCAGAGCAAGAAATAGGGTTTTAGAGTGACTATGAGAGAAGAAGTGAGTGAGTGAGAGAGAGAGGGGTACGATTTTTGGCTCTCTCTATGTATGCGTTTCGGTTTTTAATTGTTTGGGTTAGAGGGACTGATTAGCAATGTACTTGCCTTGACTAGGCTCCTCTAGTAGCTTCTTCTATGTAAATAGGGATCAAATTATATGCCCATGTTTTTGGTATAAAAATTATATTCCCATTTTAATTAGCTGAAAATAATATAAGGACATTTTTATTTTTGGTAAATATTATATTTGTACCAAAATAGAGTGGGCAAAACCCAAGCAAATATAGGACAAAGAGCAAACGCACAACGTAGCTGAGAAACAGGGCATCCAAAGCCAGCACAGGCACAAGGGGTTAAAAGTGGCATTTCATAAATAGTGACATTTTGAGGAGAAACACTTGTGTGAAATGGGAATAGCAAACATCTTTTTTTAAACCTAGCTCACAAGAACAAAGGCCGACGAATCATGGTGTGTCATGCATGATAGCTATTCCATTTGACATACTGTGATTGGTCAAGAATAACAAAACAGTATTATCTCCATTCCACACAAGTTTTTCTGCATTTTGAGAGGTCAAAATGGTTCTAGCCCCTCACTCCTTGCTCCTCCATGCACTCAAAATTTTGTGTTTCAATCCTCCGTCTTTTAACATCTCTTGTATTAAAAATAAATAATTATTATAAAAATAATAAAAAAGACATGCTCAAACAACAATCATGTAAACAAAAAACATGAACTAAGGCCAAATGGTCCGAAATCTAGCCATAACCCTTCTTAACTTTTTTAGTTTTATTTTTGGCATACCGGCTTCTGAGCTGATTTCAATATGGCCAGTTCTGGAAAGTTTGAAAGTTTTCTTGTGTGTCCACAGACCACTCTTGGGTTGGGTCCAAACAGAACTCTCTTTTTTAACAATTATTCCATTCCAGAGAGCATTAGCCCACTTTGTTTTGAAGAAAAAGCCCAATAGCAAAGCAAGCATCCTCTAAGTCCGATACAGTCTAATTCTAGTATTCCATTACTCTATTTTTTTATCTTTCTTTTTTTTTACTTTTTCTTTTTGATCAGATAAGTAAGAATTTGATTCCAACAAATCCAAAGTACAAATAGGTTCGACCAAGGGGGTTTACCTCAGTGGATAAGTGGCCCTCCTCCCCCTTCCCCCCGTCACCCGTTTGAATCTCAAGATAAGTGGCCCTCCTCCTCAATGCATGTAGAGTTAAACTCAAAATCCAAACACAGGTGAGAAGAGGTGTTGGAAAGCGCAATTTGTATATTGATAAAGTTGAACTTAAATAGAACATTACATCACTAGACTATGCTAAATTCAAGGATATGACTCCTACTAACTTAATACATTACTGACATCACTAACAAACTGCTCCACTACTGAGAGACTCCTAAAGACTTGGTAAACATAACAACGTGCGACATGACTTCCTATATAATAGGATAATCAATTTACTTAAAAAACAACTGTTGTAACTAGATAAAATTTTAACACCCGCCCTTAAACTAAATGTTCCTTGAACAATCAGTTTAGAGAGAAACCTTCAACGTGCACTATAGCTTTTGTCTTCAAGCAATATCCTTCACAGAGCAAACTCCTAACAATTTCCTTAGCTTTGAGAACACCGGTAATTTGAGAGGCTTGGTTAGAATATCAGCCACCTGATCTTCACTTCTACGGTAGATTAAATCAATTGTTTCAGCCTTTGTGAGGTCGTGCAGGAAATGGTAGCGAACATCAATGTGTTTGCTTCTGCCATGTAAAACTAGATTCTTGGACAACTTGATTGCTGAATTGTTATCACAATAGACAGGAGTTGGACCTTCTTGCAAACCATGTAATTCTTCAACTATCCTCCTCAACCAAATAGCTTGACAGCTGCAGGCTGCTGCTGCAATAAACTCAGCTTCAGTGGTTGACAGAGTGACAATCTATTGTTTTTTTTGGATGACCATGAAATAGCTCCTGCTCCCATTATAAATGCATAACCTGAGGTGCTTCTCCTATCATCTGGGTCTCATGCATAGTCACTATCAATGAAGCCAAACAAACCTGATTTAGCTCATTTCTTGTATAATATTCCAAATTCGATTGTGCCCCTTAGGTAACGAAAAATTCTTTTTGCTACCGCCAAATGAGGCACTTCTGGACACTCCATATATCTGCTAATGAGACTCACTGCGTGTTGTATGTCTGGCCTTGTTGCTATAAGATACATCAGACTTCCTACAATCTGTTTGTAGAGAGTTTGATCAACCTTCTTCTCCCCAGAATTCTTCACTAGTTTCAAACCAATTTCAATTGGCGTACAAACTGAATTGCAATCCTTCATCTCAAACCTGTCTAAGATTTCTTGAACATATTTCTTTTGTGAAATAAATATTTCGGCACTAGATTGTACTACTTCTATACCAAGAAAATAGTGCATCAATCCAAGATCAGACATATCAAACTCATGCATCATGGATTTCTTAAGATCATTAAACATGGCCACATCATTACCTGTATAGATCAGATCATCCACATACAAGCACACGATGAGTATTTGCCCTTCCTCTCCAGATTTTGTAAAGAGTGTATGCTCATATGGACATTTTTGAAATCCTTCTCTTGCAAAATATGCCTCTATGCGGCTGTACCAAGCTCTGGAAGCTTGCTTCAGCCCATATAAAGCTTTTTTAAGCTTGTAAACTTGTTTTTCCTTCCCTGGCTGAACATAGCCTGCTGGCTGCTCAACATAAACATGTTCTTGCAACTCACAATGTAAAAACGCAAACTTCACATCCAGCTAGAAGATAGGCCAAGAGTTCTGTGCCGCCATTGAAATCACCAGTCTGATTGTGTCATGCCTTGCCACTAGCCAAAGACTTCTATGTAGTCAACGCCGTACTCTTGCTTGTAACCTTTCGCCACCAAGCGTGCTTTGTGCTTATGAATCTCACCCTTCTCATTCAACTTTGTCTTAAAGACCCATTTGACACCAATCGTCTTGTGCCCTTGTGGAAGCTCTGTTAACTCCCAAGTATTGTTCTTCTTAATAGATTTGATTTCCTCATCCATGGCTTTTTGCCATTTTGGTTCTTTTACGGCATCAGAAAATGACACAGGATCAGAATCTACAAACAAAGCAAAGTGAACAAGTGGATCATCATCACTTCCTTCACTTCCACTAACGGAATCAAACACCCATTCAGAATCTATCATCCATGCAAGCCGCTTCCTTAAACGTTCGGGTCGTGCACTAGATGAACTTGCAGCCTAGGCTCCAATTGGTGGAACAACTGGTGCTTGAACAACTGAAGAAGTTGGTGCTGGAACAACTAATTAAGTTAGTGCTGGAATGCACTATTGTGATTGTTGCTGTTCCCGTGGTTGCTGTTCCACGTTATCATCAAAATTGACTGGAATGTTCTGCTGCTGCAAAGAAACATCATCACTTTAATTCCATGTATTCTCTTAATCAAATACAACATCTCGACTAATAATAATCTTTTTGGACACATGATTGAATAACTTATATGCCTTGGAAACTTCACTTATGCCAAGAAAGACACATCTTTCACCTTTGTCATCAAGCTTCTTCCTTTTCTCGTCTGGAATACGTTCATATGCAATGCAACCAAAAACTTTAAAGTAACCAACTGCTGGTTTACGGCTGCTCCATGCCTCTTCAGGTGTCAAATCACGAACAACAAAAGTTGGACTTCTTTTCAGTATGTGAATACTCCAGTTTATAGCTTCCGACCAGAAACTCTTTGGAATGGAACTTTTTGTCTGCATATTGCGTACCATATTTAAAATGGTACGATTCTTCATCTCTGCCACACCGTTCTGCTGTGGTGTATAAGCTGCCGTAAGTTGTCGGCGAACGCCATGTATAGCATAGAAATTTTCAAAGGCTTTTGAATTGTATTCTCCACCACGATCAGTTCAAAGAACCTTGATCGTCTTCTCTATCTCATTCTCAGCAGCCGCCTTAAATTGTTTGCATGCATTTAAGGCTTCTAATTTCTCCTGTAAGAAATAAACCCATGTTTTTCTGCTGTAATCATCGATGAACGTTATAAAGTACCTTTTTCCGGCGTTGGAAGCTGGAGTTATTGGCCCACAAATATCTGAACGGACTAGCTCAAGAGGTCTTCTAGCCCGCCATGCTTTTCCCTTTGAAAAGGTTTCCCTATGTTGTTTTCCAACAACACAAACTTCAGTTGGACATGTTATCTGAGGAAGGCCAGTCACCATCTCTTTATCATGTAGCGTCTTCAAACCTCTAAAATTCAGATGACCATAGCGTAAATGCCACAGCCATGCTGGATCATTGATGTAATGACCCGGTCCTAAATAAATGGGTGAATATTAATTTATTCAGATAAAAGGACAATTTTGCCCCTAGAATATTTTGTGAGGTTTAGAGTTGACTTTTTGATCGGGATGGAATGTGGAAATGTCAACAATACCGTTGCGTAGAGCGCGGTGAGATGAGTCCGTAGACACGTAGTGGGCTCGAATCGGAGTTGTAATGAGAGAGATACGATCAAAATACCCTCAGTGGCATAATCGTAAATATTTCGAAATGGATTTTGAATAAAATCTGAAAACTCTCTCTCTCGGGGGTGCTCTCTCTCTCTCCTCCGCGCGACAGCCGTCGCCCTCCTCCCTCGCAACTCCGGCCACCGGCCACGGATGCGGACGGGACCGGTGCCAAAATGACCGGCTCAGCCCCGGTGTCATGACCCGGCCCTTCCCCGACATCGGCCGCCGCTCCAGTCACCGGAAAATGCAGGTTTTGGCCGATTTTCGCTTGAAACTTCGCCGGCTTGATCTCCCTCCTCCGGCCACCGTTTCTGGTGATTGAGGTATGGATTTCCACCTATTTTCTGAGCTCTGGCTGCCTGTTGGGTAGAAATTGATCAATTTGTAGTGTAGGCAACTCGATTTACGAATTGGATTTCGGCCGGTATTGCGATCGCGATTCCGGCCACTTCCGGTCAGTTTTTGGGGTACGTCCAAGAACAAAAGTGACTCCAAATTAGGTGTATTACCTAGGGTAGGAGTCTTGGCTCTCACTTTGGAAGTTTTCCGGTGATGCGATATCGTTTTGGACACCCAAGCGTTGCCGACGCGTGTGGCGGCGCGTGGGCACTGTAGCTTTGGGCATTTTTGTCCCAATGCGATCCCCTTGATGTCACGAGCACGTAGGATTTCGCGGATCTAAATTTGGATACCGTTAGAGCCTCAAACGGATATCGCATATTGCGCATTTTCCGGGTTCGTTAGGTTTGGACCGTTGGATGGTCCTGAGGTTTTAATATGTTGATCTAGGCATTACTAGGGTCGTATAGGATTCGACGGATCATAAAACGGAGTCCCGGATACTCCGGATAAGCCAATCCTAGGGTTAGGGTTTTAGTAACCGTCCGATCGTCCGATCGTGAGCGATCTGACCGTCCGATCCGGATCACACTTGCAGGACGTGTGTCCTAGACCTTGTAGGACCTATAGGAATTGTCGGATCAGAATTTGAAGGTCGTGGACCCGAGGGCCCGTTTGTATGGTGATAAATTGGGGGTTTATCGGATGTTATATCTTGGGGTTGAGGTTGATGCAATAGTGGAGTATATTTATATATATATATATTATTATTTGATAAAAGATGCGTGAGGGCACTATAAGTGCCGCCTTGTGAATTGTCGTTGGGGTGCATATATATATATTTTTGTATGTCTTTATAAAGGTATGAAAAGAGTATAGATTGTTAGTTTGCAGTGCTTTACGCACTATCTTAAATACCTCCTCGGTTATGGGTTTTATGTTTGAGATTTAATTTGCCCAGGCCCGTCGGAGTTTGTCCAGGCCCTTCGGATATCTTCTTGATACGATGCCTTGGAAATGAAGTGTTAATGTTTCCATGTGTTTTTATCTGATTTAGAATTATGATAGATCTGAAAGGTATAGAGGTTTGGAACAATTGAATTAAGGAAGAAAATATCATTTTATAATGTTGTAATAAGGGTTACGAACTCCACCATCATACGTACCTTCCCTGGTTACTATTCACACACGTGCCGTGTTTCGGGCGTGTGGGCTTTCTTGGTTACGGATCCTGGAATTGTGGGATGCCGGGAATATTATGCTATGGTTTGGATATGTTGAAATACGGGGCACCTTGATGAGATGTTGCCGTGGACCCTGAGGGGTGGTAGTCTGCGCGCGTAGGACTGTTTACAGGCGTACGAGTCTTGATTCTTCGTCCGTACGTGCTGGGCTGAGAGTTAGTCCCCCAGTTGGACGGCTCGTTCCCTAGTCACATGGTGAATTGAGGAATGGCTCTGCCATGTTGACTAGTCAAACAATCCCCAGTTGGATTGTTTTCCCTAGTACATGATGTACATCATCATATGTACCTCCCCTGATCTGCATTTGGTTACGAACATTGGATACTTTTGGAGTTATTAGAACTCAGGACATCCTTGAGGGGATGTTGCTGTGGACCCTGGATTTGGGGTAGTCTGCGCGCGTAGGACTGGTATTTCAGGCGTACAAGCTTTGACTGTGTCGGCTGTACGTGCTGGCTGAGAGTTAATCCCCCGGTTGGATGGCTCGCTCCCTAGCCACATGGTTCCCTAGCCACATGGTGAATTGAGGAATGGCTCTGCCATGTTGACTAGTCAAACAATCCCTGAATTGGATTGTTTTCCCCTGGTACATGATGATGGTGAGAGGTGGGTGTGCTTATTTATATGTGTTTATACGTGGATTTGTTTCTGGATTTATATATATGTTTATATGTTTATATATGTTTATTCGTAAGGTTGTGCTTTGTGATTACCCTACATTGTTATGAATGGTCTGAGTCCCGGTTTGGGGAGTAATGGTTGGCAACATACGCCTGGCATAGGGTATGGTTATAGGTTGATTTGGTATAAAGGAAAAGTTTGAGAATGTGTTCATTATGTTTAGTGGGACATTGATTGGTGATAAATTTGAAATGCATTTGTTGGTTCTGCTATAAATAATTGTATATTATCGGAGATGTGACCGTTGATATGAAAGAACTACGTGTGGCTTGATCCCTCAGTAAGGGTACGTAGGCAGCCTGAAGTAACTAGGCGCAGCCGCGGGTTAAACTCTAATGATGTGTTTTGTTGAGTGTGATGCGGACCTTGTTGTTGGTCCTGAAACTCTTTTGAAATCGAGGTATGTTTAGATTTTTGTTCATACTCCCGGTTGGCTAAGGAAGGGTTGTGTATGTGTACTATTGGATAAAGTGTGTGATATAATGAGCTGAGGCCCTGGAATAAATGGTTATAATGTATAGATGATAATTGATGCATGTTAAAACCTCGCCTGCTGGATTGGGGAAAGTTAGTGGTGAGTTTTGCTTTCGGCAATTATAAGTGTGTTTGAGCTCATTCTTGCCGTGTTTAAGGAAATTTTTATCTCAAGACTTTGTTGGCAGCTCTTTTTCGGAATATTTGAAGGCCGGAGGCAAATTAGATGAATTGCATGAAATGATATTGTGCGTGCTGCCGGTTGGGTTATAAAACTATGTTTTATGCAGGTGGAAATTTTGGGAAATGTTCAATTTACAGGGGAGACTGCCGAATTTTCGGCAGAAAGTCTCATGCCCTTACTCCTTTTGAAGAAGGAGGTTACCATTTTAAGGAGTGAACCCGGCATGGGTGTGATGTCGGGGTCTCCGCAGGATTCATCTCGGGTTTTGTGAAAAATTCGGGGCGGGTCCTGTCAATTGACCTTGGCAGAGAAACATTTAGGACCATCACTTTGAATATGTAATTGAAACATTCGATTTGTCGTCATGTAAGCCTTAGCAATTAAGCCCCTCTTTTGGTCATGAATTTGACAAGCTCCTCATGTAATCTTAATCTCATATCCCTTTTTCGTGCAGTTGTCCCAAGCTCAGTAAATTGCTCTTCAAACTCAGAACAAAGAAAACACTAAAGATAGTATGGACAGTGTTATCTTTAGCCCAAATTTTGATATCTCCTTTTCCCAAAACAGAAACTTTGTTGTCATCTCCAAATCTTACTGTAGTTGTTAAACTTTCATCTAAGGTAGAGAAAATTGACTTTTCTCCACACATGTGATTACTGCAACCTGTATCCAAGTACCACACATTCTTTTGTGGTTTTTCCATGGTTTGACACACCATTAGAATAGCCCCGTCATCTTCTTTCTCTTTCTCTGCAAAATTTGCCCTTGCACCCTTTGCTTTATTCATATTTGTGTAACATTCAAACCTGTAATGACCATAATTGCCACACCTGAAACACTCGACATTTGATTTGTCGACATTCGAATCATGATTATATGACTGCCTTCGGCCTCTGCTGCTATTGCCTCCAGAATTATAATAGCCTCTACTGTTACTACTGGAATCATGAGTGTTTTTGCTGCCGGAATCATCATTGGATTTGTTCCCATCTCTGCTACCTCGACCTCTTCCATGGTTGCCGTCTCTACCACGTCCTCGTCCACGACCATCACGACCTCTTACTACCGGAGAATCACTATTTGTTGAAACTTTCAACGCATGTTCCTCAAATGTACTCCGATTGATCTTCTGCTCATGAACAAGCAAGGAACTCTGTAGCTCATCAATTGAAAGCTTCTCAACGTCATTTGACTCCTCAATGGAGCACACAACGTAATCAAACTTTGTAGTCATAGATCGCAGGATCTTTTCTACAATGGTCACGTCTTCCATCTTCTCGCCATGGATACTCATCTTGTTTGCAATTGCCATTGCTTTTTAAAAATAATCATTGACAGACTCTCCTTGTTTCATATGAAGAGTCTTAAAATCTTTCCTTAGTGCTTGCAGCATTGAACGTTTTACCTTCGTTGAGCCCTGGTGCTTCTTCTTCATGGAATCCCAAATTTGCTTGGAAGTATCTTTTTGGAGAATGGTCTCCAAAATGGAACGATCAATAGCTTGGAATAAGTAATTTTTTGCCTTCAAATATTTCAGCTTGGATTCATCCAATTTCTTTTGTTGTAGCTCCGTCAACACCACTCCACTTTTCGGCTCTACAATACCGATTTCCACAAGAGTCCAGTATTATTTAGACCTCAGGAAATTCTCCATCAACTTGCTCCAATGCTCATAATGACCATCAAAGCTTGGTATGGCTGGCTGCACATAGTTGTTTGTAACCTTGTCAGACGCTATAGTAACTTACTGTCGTAAGTGCAATTATAACTTACTGCTTTTGTGGGAACTTTTATGTCAGGCCCCAGTGGGGAGCTCTGATACCAGATGTAGAGTTAAACTCAAAATCCAAACACAGGTGAGAAGAGGTGCTGGAAAGCGTAATTTGTATATTGATAAAGTTGAACTTAAATAGAACGTTACATTAGCAGACTATGCTAAATTCAAGGACATGACTCCTACTAAATCCATTACTGACACCACTAACAAACTGCTCCACTACTGGGAGACTCCTAAAGACTTGGTAAACATAACAATGCAACATGACTTCCTACATAATAGGATAATCAGTTTATTTAAAAAACAACTGCTATAACTAGATAAAATCTTAACAATGCAATGTATCTATCGTAAATTCTCAAACAAAAAAACAAAATGAAAAGTACAAATAGGTTCTCAACCCAAAAAAAAAGAAAAAAAAAATCAGAGTACAAATTGGCTCTATAACATTTTCAGATTTTCCCATTTTGTTTTCTACTGGAGCCTCTCTCCTTGTGACTGTTTATTTATGTTTCACGTGGCCACTTCTTAAAGATATTCCTAACTCAGTTTTCAATACGTATATTTTATAACACAGAGAGAGAGAGAGGGAGAGGGAGAGATTTATAATTTCTTCTAGGAGGAAGCTATTCATGGTTTTGGTCATGAAGACGAGGAGTCTATACCTTTTTTCCCTTCTTACTCTAAATATTCCAAACAATATTTTCTTTCTATAAGGATATTTTAATATCTTTGTCAATTCTATCAAGTTTTTGACTTGATTGTCATCTTCCAAGAGTGTGAACATTTGAAAGTGTAAGGTTCAAGTGAAAACGACACTAAAGTGTCTTGTTTTTAACTCACAAATTGTCATGATTTCTTCAAACATAATGAAAACGATAGACCAAATGATCATTGGTGATTGAAGTATTTATGCAAGAATGATAATTCAAAGGGAGATTCACTATTATACCCATTATAGCAGCCCAAATTATTATTTTATTTTATTTTTAAAACCCTATATGAAATGGACTTTAGAAACACACTCAAAGCTCATTTGCAACATAAAAAAAAAGGTTTTAACTTCTTTTAAATTACAAAACTGCCATTGATTTCTTAAAACAAACTCAACCCTAAAACCTCATATAAAAAAAAGCCCAAAACACTCAATAGGGTATTAAAGTAATTTAATAATTAAAATTAAATTCAATAGGGTCAGCTGTCATTTTTTGGGTTTTTTTTTGTTTGTTTATAGAAATTAAATGGTATAGGGTTTATTTATAATTTTAGTGCTAAGAATGGGTATATGACTAAATATCTCTAATAAAAAATGAAAAATAGCATATTTCGTATACATGCATTAAATTTATTGATTAATATTATGTCTGACCTCAATTAGCGAAAAAACTTGTATGAAATGAGGATATCATTGTTTTGCTATCCCCGATCAATTACAGTCTGCCACATGAGAAAGTTATCAAGCGTGACATACCGTGATTGACCGGGAATAGCAAAATAATGCTATTCCCGTTTCATGTAATTGTTTCTCAGCCAGCCTCATGGACACGTATTAAATTGATTGACTAAGATTATCTTTCCCCTCAGCCCTATGGACACACATTAAATTGATTAAAAATTAAGTTTGCCCTCAGCCCTTGTGATATGCAATAGCCAACGAGACAATTGTTTTCAACTTTGAAGAGGAGAAAAAATTCAAATTTGATATGACTTTTTAGTACAAGTAATGGAAATGAGAATAAAGTGAATGATTTTCATTCATGAGTCATGACTTCTAATGCGTTTACTTACATGATTGCGGGTCTTACCTTAAACTTTTTAATCAAATACTTCAAAGAATAGGAATTAGATCAATTGCTCCCCTCCTAGTTGATCTGATTCCCATTTCTTGTTTATTCTATTCCATTTATTTCCATACACCTTACTTTAATTTACAAAGTTGATATCAAAATGTTTCATGTTTGACAAAAATTTCTGCAAAGTTGGGGACACCATAGAAGTAAAATGCCCATTTCTACATATAAGGCGTGCAAGAAAAAGCAAAAAAGAGCAAGGTTGGGGGGAAAATTATATTCTTGTGGGAATAAACCTATATTGGTTTAACTTTATACGCAACCAATTTAGAGGCCAATGAAGCTCACAGCACCCAAATTACAACAAAGATTATTGATGCAAATTACAAACACTTTAAGAAAACCAACATGATTTTATTTCGTCCGACATTCGAAAGAAATAGCCTGGTGTCAATGGTGCCATCAAAAGCACCACACTCACGATGTAACCTTCAAATTGTGCAACACAGAACATAGACAATACTTACTTACCGACCAATATGATCTAATTAAGATTAAAAATGCTAATCAAATAAATTTATATAAAGCAACAACAAGAGCAAATAACAACATCTCCAAATCTGTGAACTCAGGAACCCTAATAGCGATCTGATCTTTGCATTATTTACTCAACAGAAAATGACAGAAGCCCAAAATAAGAGCAGAGCAGAAAACCCAGTCCATGCTATCTTGCTTGAGCCTTCATTGCCAGCATTTGGTGCACCTGCAAGATTAAATTACCACTTGATTTAATAATAATAATATATAAAAAATTCATATAGCAAACATGGATTAGGTCAGTTGGCAAAATTTTTTTTCTTTTATTGTTTGCGGTCGAACTCTGAATTTTCAGGAGCCACAAATACAAAAGCACGACACAGGAAACATGCCAAGAGGGACTTGCTTTTGAATCTTCTATGGATCAGTCAAACTTGGAAGGCACCAACAAAATGTTACAAAAATTAAATTACACTCGAACACGTGGCATGGCTCTATTCAGCCATCACTCATCTTACCTACCGATTCTTACTGGTCCCCATTCACACAAGAATTGCAAAACAGGGGAAGTGAAGGCAATTCGAAGTTTTTTTATTTTACAATGGAGAAATTCTAAACTATTCTAATGCACCAGAAAATAATTCGAATTGGGGCAAATAGACAGACACTATCTTGAAAAATTTACCTAACTCACGTTTGCGAAGACAATCAAACTTAAACCAGGACCTACCCAGAAAATTTTATTTATTTATGAAAAATAATAATAAAATAGAAACCCAGGATTTAAGCCTCAACTCTTGCTCATAATAATAGTCAGTGACCACAAAATCCAACTCTGCTAATCAGGGTTTAAGTTACCCAATTCAAATTGGGTCTTGAAGAAGACCCTAAACTCAGCTTATGATATAAAATAAGAAACAACATTATCAGTGAGTAAAATTAAAACCAAACTCTTTTATCAGGATTTTCAGTTACCCAATTGACTTTTGATGACCCTAAACTCAAATTTTGATGCAAATAATTATTTTGAATTTGGTAAACGTAGAAGAGAAGTTTGGTTACCTGGGGTTGCAGGTGGGGATTCGGGAGTGGGAGCACCAATGGCAGCTGCAAAAACCAAACATTAAAACCACCACAGTTTGCTCGTTGAACAATTAAGATCTGAAAAGGGTGTGTTGAGAAAATCCAATTAAACGCAAGGGTGTATTTATCAGATATCTAGCCTCCGCTTACCTTTGCATTTGTTGACGTCCATTGTTTCGCCGCAGGCGGTGGCGATTCTGAGACCCGAAGTGGTGTTGCCACCATAAGCCTCGAGAATTCCAGGCGTGAAGAAGAGGTTGCAGAGGCAGGCGAGCTGGGTGGCAACGGTCTGTTTGATGTTGGTGCAACACGTGGTGGACGGAGGATTCGTGTTGCTGAGGTAGTCTGCGCAGGGCACCAGGTCCTGAGCACAAGCCGGCGTCGTATCGTTTGACTGTCCAAAGCATCTGGTCATGCTCAACACCACAACCGCCATGGCCATGGCCAACATGAACATGTTGGAGCTGCCCATTTTCTTTTTCTGGTTTAGGTGTTGCTGCTTTTGCTCTCTGCGTGTTTATTGGAGAGAGATTTTGGTGGTGGCTTTGCTCTGCCTTCTGAGGCTTCCTGTTGGGGTTTTTATGTATACGTAATACAGCTGTTGGCACATGCGCGCGTTTTGGTTCGTGGAGAAAATATGTGACTCGCGTGAGTTGATAGAGCGTTGATCTACTCGCTGCTTAAATTATTATTAGTATTATTACAAAGGGTATTTGCTCAGCATTTTCAGCTGGAGGCTGGAAAATGGCAGCTGTTCAGGGTATTATCACATATTCAACATGGAGATTCACTATTATACCCAATATAAAGGTCCATATTATAAAAATATCTCATATGAAATGGACTTTAGAAACACACCCAAAGTCCATTTACAACATAACAAAAAAGCTTTTAACTTCTTATAAATTACAAAATTGCCATCAATTTCTTAAAACAAGTCCAACCCCAAAATCTCATAAAACTACCCAAAACACTCAATAGGACATCAAAGTAATTTAATAATCAATATTAAATTTAATAAGGCCAACTGTCATTTTTTGAGTATTTTTTTGGGTATGTTTATAGAAATTCAATTGTGTAAGGTTTATTTATAATATTAGTGCTAAGAATGGGTATATCACTAAATATCTCTTAATTTAAATCATACATGGAAGTTTACTCATTGCTAATTGATCAACATGGAAGTTTGCATTAATAGTTTAAATCATACTGGGTTTTAACCTATTGCTAATTGATGTTGAGGTGGATGCTCAAAGTATCTTATAACACTTTTTGTTATTTCTGGTCAATTGCCCAATGACATGCAGGATAATTTTTCCATATGTCCTTGCATTATTCGTCTGGAATATCAAAACAATGTTATCCATGTTACAATAAAGTTTTTCTGCTCCAATTGTGCTCTTAATTTTTAATTCAATTGTACTTTATAGTTTTGAGAGTTATAATGCTTAGGAGCCAATAACCAATTAACTCTTGTGATTTAGTTGTACTTCTCTTATCAATGTTAAAAGAGGTCCTAAGTTCAAAACCTTACACCCCATATACTTTTTTTTTTAATAAAAAAAGATTAGGAGTCTGTTCGCGCTAAATCTGAACAGATAAGAGTTTAGGCTAACTTACAAGTGTGATGGTGGTTGAGGATTTGAGTGACCTTCTTCCATGATGTCCGAAGGTTTGAGCAGGGGCTGCCCGAACTGAGGAGGGGATACCGGTGTGGTACCTGCCGAAGGCACTCCGATGCCAAAGTTAATAACTAAGAGCGATTCTATTAACAATGGAAGCACTAGTCAAGTCAGAAAGTCTTACCACTTGGCTGGGCCAAGGGGCTCTATTTATAGAGAGCATTTGTGATGCTCTTAGCACTTAGTTTCGATGTGGGACTCGAGGGAGTGTCTTCGGAGATCGACACGTGCTCTGACAGGTTCCGGTAGAAGTTCTGAGGTAATATGTCAGAAATGGATTGATGTGATGGTTGGTTGCTCGGCAATCCATGCCAAAGGTTAGCGAAGGGACCGATGGTGCATAACCGACCCCCTGAATCGGTAGAGCGTGCCGAACGAACATTCGGTATGGCCCGGCTGAGCTGGTCTCGACTTTGAGGGTGTTCCACGTGTCACGACGTGAGTGGGCGGTCAGATATGGTACAAACAGAGTCAATAAGAATAAACTAATTATGAAGAATATAATATCATGATGGAGTGGATATATCTTTTACAAGTTATTTTTTAAAATTTTTTTTTGTTGTTGTTGTTGGAGAATTATGGATTGCATTCATAATTCAGCTAAAAAAATCACAAGCTATAAAGGGCCAATACAAACTAGTCACAAAAAGCCATTACAAATATGAAGAAATCTAACATTAAAATTAAGACAATCTGGTGCACCTCTACCAATGATCATGCAAGACTAAAGAAACTCTGGCATAAGCATCCCCACTAAGATTGTAAACTCAAACAATCAAAAAAGATAAAGCTTGGAAGAACCAAACAAGAACAATACAAATAAAACTCTCACAAATGAGATGTGGAAAACTCGCACAAATGAGATGTGAAAACTACACAGAAACTCGTGACTTATTCCAAAAATAAAGAAACCAAATGACACCGGATTGCAACCCCATAGTCACAAAGACAAGCCACTGTATGCAAGCACCAATATATACAAGATCCGCACCAATCAATTTTCTTCTTTGACAAATAAAGCAAATATATCAAAAAAAGATAGATCCACAGAGATTTGTAACAGAATTACGCCATAAACGAGCCAACGAAATAGAGAAGGAGACGATGCCAAAAAAGACAAAGAGGGTGGAAAGGGGGGGGGGGGGGGGGGGGGGGGGGAGAGGTGGAGATGACAGGAAAAAGAGAGGAAGAAGAGACAAAAAGACAACGAAAACACACACCCGAAAATAGAGGCGGCTAAGAGTTTTCTCTCTTAAGGGTCGTTTGGTACGCTGGATTGTCATGGACTAGACTAAACATTGGGATTTTCTTGGATTGGATTGGCTTGGCATAAGCTGGATAAGCCTAATACTGCGTTTGGTGTACGATTGGATTAGGACTAAATTTTTTAATTTTTAGAAAGAAAGCAAATGAATTTTTTTATTTTTACTTTTCTTCTCTCTCCCTCTGCTCTTTCTTCTTCATCTTCTCTCTGCGTCTTTTATTTTTCATCTCTTCTTCTCCCTGCTCCCTCTCCTTCTCTTCTTCTCAATCTATATTCTCTCTTCTTCTAATTTCTACCCCACCTAAAAACATCATCTAGTTCAAATACTTTGGCTTTGGTGTGGTAAGTAATTTGCAGAAACAAATTTGAGGGAGAGGCAGGAGCTTAGACCTAAATCATGGCAGAAATCCATAGCCCACACCAAAATCATCATCCACAAAAAAACTTGAGAGAGAGAGAGAGAGGTAGAAGCAGACTCAAATTGATGAAGACCCAAAGCTAAATCGTGGAACAACTTCAATCACTGTGGTGGTCTGTCATCACCAACGTCGACTGCCGTCGCCGTCTGCCATCACTGTTGCTGCCTGCCATCGCCGTATGCAACCTATAGTCGATGGCTGTGATTGCCGTTTGGGTGGTCGGTGGTTGCCGCTGTTGCTTGGGTGGAGTTGGTTGCAGAGTTTTGGTCGGGACTAATAGTCCCTCATTTTCACATGGGTTTAGCTAAGAACACCTAAGAATGTGTTTTTGGTGGGCCAGGGATTACTAATCCCACTTAATATTAGGACCAGGTGACAACAAACATGGGATTAACTTTTAGCCAAGCCAATCCAAGCCAAGGAGGTGTAACAAACAAGCCCTTAGGGTTTCTCTTAGTTTTTTTACAAGTAATGTATAAGTGATAGGTTTAGTTTGAAAATAAAGACTACTATAAGTTTTTATATTTTTTTTTCCTGAGTGAATAACTTAGTGTTTAGTTAACAATATATGTAGATAAATCTAAACATGACGCTATTAATAAATTATTGGATTGGTCTTGAATCAAAATGATTAATTACACTAGTTAGGTTAGAGTTGATTAGCAATTGTCACCTTCCTTGTTAAATTAACAATGGATTACTAAGACATATAGTAGGTAGATGAGTAAGATTTAACATATTTCGTTTGGTATCACTAAAGAAGATTTACCCGTATTCAGTAGTCGCTTTATATTTTTAATGATTCATGGAAATGCCAATTCTGACTTCATGTGAACGTTTTGTGGAGATTTCTTGCAGATATATAAACAATAGATATTCAACATGCAGACCTCGGAATGCAACAATGGAAAGATGGTCCGAAAGTGCAAGCTAGATTCTGGACTTTTCGTGGATTTCCATCGAAATAGAAAATCATTCCAAGTTGGCCACCTTCAAGAGTTGAAGGAGAACTACAATCATGTGTGGGCAGCACATCATCCTCATTTCGTGAAAAAAGTAGCAAATTAAGGGATCATTAACAAATTAAATCGCATTAATTAATTAGTTAATTAATTAGATAGATAGACACCAACTCGTTTTTTTTATTTATTTCTTTAATTGTTTTCTACAAAATAGGGGAACAAACACGAGTTAAACTAATGTTAAGAGAAGAAAAACAATTTTTTAAATCTTTTTGGTATGTATCGCGCGAAGCGCGGGCGAGGAATCCTCCTTATTTTTCGGATATGTTGGACCCTTGCTCTCAGAAGAATGACAGGACTAGAGTAAAGAACGTGAGTAAAGTGCATAGAATTCAGTGCGGTGATGTGAAGAAAGGGAAGGGGCTATCCCTATCGGCCAATGAGAATCAAAGGCACTCAGCTAGAGTGGCAAGCCAACCAACAGAGAACACATAACTGAAGAGTAAGAGTGTCGTGGTCAACAACTCCTTACCTAGCCTGTACTAAACTTAATGCGTTTGGTTATGAAAGAAATGTACACTGACCCTTGGAGTGCGTTAAATTTTAGAGATATTTAGTGATATACCCATTCTTAGCACTAATATTATAAATAAACCCTACACAATTGAATTTCTATAAACATACCAAAAAATGACAGCTGGTCTTATTAAATTTAATATTGATTATTAAATTACTTTGATGTCCTATTGAGTGTTTTGGGTATTTTTATGAGATTTTGGGGTTGAGCTTATTTTAAGAAATTGATGGCAGTTTTGTAATTTATAAGAAGTTAAAAGCTTTTTTGTTATGTTGTAAATGGGTTTTGGGTGTGTTTTTAAAGTCCATTTCATATAGGGTATTTTTATAATTTGGGCCTCTATATTGGGTATAATAGTGAATCTCCCTGAATTTTATCACCCCATTTTTTTTATATGAATATTATTTTATATATTCAATAAGAGAATCAAGCGATAATAGCTCCAATAATTAAGAGTATTTATCAATACATCTCGATTCTTTATCCGATTTCCACCTCTTCTAAAATCGATTGCGTAAAATGAAGAAAAAACTTATGGATAAGTTCTTAGCTAGTAGAGAGAGAGAGAGAGAGAGAGAGAGAGAGCAAAAGTCAAAAGAGAAGTGTAGACTCTGAGATGTGAATGCAAAGACTTAGAAAATTAAGCCAAGTGAGGACGCGCTCATTATTTGCAGCTGTAGGATTATAATGCGGCATGCAATTTCGTCCCAAAAAGGGACAAATCCCCATCAAAATCAAAGAAAAGTTGGAAGCTCAAAGAAGTCAGATTACCGGGCCGGTTTGGTTCCATCTGTCTGTAGATGCAATTTAGGTCGATGCCCGAGTCAACAGGGACATGAGAAAGAGCTGATGTCAATTTGTTAGTTGTCAAGTGGATTTTGTCCACTACAAATTTAATTAAAATACAAAAAAATTATAGAATTTGAAAGAAGTTATGCGTGAGGTGGGGATCATGCATATTCTTATTCTAAGTGAAAGGAATTAAGAAAATAAAAATTAACAGAAGTTAAAATGTTATAACAATTTTTTTATATTAAGAGCAATAGTAATTGAACTTGTACCCGATTCGCATTTTGATTTAAAAATGGCTCTTGTTGTTGTTCCTCAATTTCACTTTCGTTAGCACTATTGGTCATGTCGTTGTAATATGTTTCATTTTTAGTCAAATTTAAAGGGAAAATTATCATTTTATATAGCTTTCACTATTGGAGCCAATATTCGAGTTACATGACTAAAATGTAAGTCGTTTATATATTTAGGGATCATTGCTCTTAAAAAACCTAGAGACTAAACTTGAAATGACCATTGTGCCTCTAAATTTAATAGAAAATTTAATGGATGACCAGCAGTACTAACAAAAATGAAGTTGATGGACTACGTCAACCATTTTTAAAGTTCAAGAACCAAACTACAAATTGGGTACAAACTCATGGACTATTGCTCCTAAAAACTCATTTTATTATTATTTATGCAATAAAATAAACTTCGCATAAACTTTTAGTTACATGCTTTGATGATTAAGAACCAACAAGAGATATTTAGTCATGTTGATGCTCTTTTTGGGATGGTCAACTTAGGTAGAGGAGTATCGAGTCTTCAGCAGGGGGAGAAGATGTGAACCTTCGGTGTTTGGAGGACCTGCAAAAGACAATGAGGAAGAAGCAATCGTCAAGCTTCGGACATCGGTGTGGTGTCTGTCGAAGGCTCTCAAATGCTTAAGTAAGCTATAAGTGGTAATTTTGGCAGAGTAACAGTAAATGTGAGAAAATAGTTATCCTTCTTACTTGGGCACTGTTCCCCATTTATAGAGAAGTGAAAATGAGAGTCTTGCACAAAGTTTCGATGTGGGACTTTGTGCAAGCTGCTATAAAGGTTACACGTGTCCCTGAAAATTAGGTTCGGTAGTCGAGAGCTTCGGCAGGTGGTTGCCACTTCAGAAGAGTGTCTTCCTTCGACCAGTTAGAAGGTGATGACGTCACTTATTTTCTAAGGATTTCTTTGTGTGTCCCTTTACGGTATTTCAGTAGGGGAGAAAGCGTGTCTACCTTGATGCCAGTTGTTTTGATACTGGATATACTCGATTGATTATGGTGTAAACAAGTCATATACCCATTCTTAGCACTAAAACTATAAATAAACGCTACACCATTTAATTTCTATGAACAAACCCAAAAAATGACATCTGACACTATTGAATTTAATTGTAATTATTAAATTACTTTGATGCCCCATTGTGTGTTTTGGGTTTTTTTTTATGAGGTTTTGGGGTTGAGTTTGTTTTAAGAAATTAATGACAGTTTTGTAATTTAAAAGAAGTTAAAAACCTTTTTGTCATGTTGTAAACGGGTTTTGGGTGTGTTTCTAAAATTCATTTCATATAAGATGTTTTTATAATTTGGGCTCCTATATTGGGATAATAGTGAATCTCCCAAAAAACAAAGTTGCCTCTTAAAAATCTTTTAGTTACCATGAGCTAAACAATAAATCATTAATCTTCAAATTTATTATTGTTTTTGCAATGAGAAGAACAAACAAACAAAGCAGAAAATTAAGTGATCCTTTTATTGTAACAATCAAAAGATTCTTATTTCATGGATATCCTTTTGTCGGTGTGACGAAATGTTATTTGATCAAATTTAAATTGTATATATATATGAATGACTTTTCTTTTTCTTCTAGGAAATGTTTTGAGTGAGACCAAGTCAGTTTTAGATTTTAGCGTTTGTTTTCGTGGGTTAAATTTAGTAGCTTCGAAGAGCTTTGAACATTGACCTTGACTCACTTGGGCTTGGTTTAGGTTTTAGTTTAATGAATAGAAGTATGAAGATGTGAAAATGACCAACTAGAAAACCATTAGATATTCTCATTATACCTTAGTTTCAACGTGAAATAAATAGGATCTAATGACCAAAGAAATGTAGACAAGTTGTTCCATGAAGAATAACAATATGTTAGAACTCACTATAGTTTCTTTCGACTCTCAGTATGAATTTTTCAATTTTGAGACAATCATTACCTTTCAAATTGTTTCTCATATTCAAAATCTTGAACTAATTTTTAAGGAACACTAAATATGTAACTTTACAATTTGCTGAAACATTCGAAAAAATTCCGACTTTTTCGAGTAGTAATAGATGTTGATATTTTTCTAAACAGAATTAGGAGGACATTTTATGAGTTGGGATTGAAATCCTATTATTCCGATTTGATCCGTCCAAAAATAAGGCCTAGTCCCCATAGTTCATCATTCAATTTTCATTTTTCTGATGGTCTTTTGAGAGAGCTCAATTACTTTACAAAGTGAGACCCAAATTAAAGCTACCTAAAACTTAAAACTCAAATTAAAGCCCAAACAAATCAAGAGGCTCCGCAAAGATGCTTCTAATTATTGAACCAGATAACGGTTGTGTTTCCCGCCATAAACATCGTTCTATTTACCTTCTGTGCCACCCAAACGGATAACAATACAAAACCAGATAGCAGAAACCAGAGGCTGAGCAGAGCGCTTCAAAACCAATGGCCGCCCTAAGCATTGGCATCGCCACCACCAGCTCAGCCTTACTTACAAGGCCGACACCGCGTAGTTCGAGGCCTACCAGAATTTCCTGCATTGGATGGGTACCCTTCAAACTCTGCTTCTCAAAAATTTCATGGAAATTCAAAGCATGGAATTTAGTATATTTTTTATTATCAATTCTTCAGTTTTTTTTTCGAATTTAATATTTGTTTGAATTAATCTAAGGAAGGACCCAGAAGGTGTATTGGGGCCGCCGCAGACGGGCCATTTGGCCCGAATAGAGTTCAAGAGGCGGATGGAAAGAGACGCCGATGCTCGAGAAGCCTTCGAGCGCCAAGTCATTGAAGAAAAAGAGCGCCGTAGAGCTCTTAGAGAAGTAAATTGAGAAATGGGTTTTGAATTTTCATGAATTGGTCCTTTGTTAAAGAAATAATTTTTAAGTTACTGTGTTTGTATTTTGTGTTTGATTGTTTTTCAGTCTCGGGCTGAGCCGGATACTGCAGAGGAGTTGATCGAGTACTTTCTCAACACTGAGGCACAGGAAATTGAGTTCGAGATTTCGAGGTTGAGGCCACGGTTAGTGCTTTAAAGTTTAAACCCATTTCTGTCTGAAGCCTGAAGAGAATGGCAAAGTAGGAAATGCATGCCATCTGTTTGAGGAGAAGCTTAAATGAATGTTAAAAATGATGGCAGCTCACATTTTCAGTGTCTGTGTTTGGTTCTATTGCATATAACTTAGAAATAGAAATGTTGTGATGGAGAATATTGTCAGTCGATGGTTACATAACTTTACTTGTTGGAGTTGTATCAATCTCAATTTTCCATCAGCTCCACAGGGTACATTTGAGCTGCATGTCAGATGATAGGAGCATAGGGTAGAACTTGCGCTTGCAAAAATCAGCTTACGAGGGAAGGGTGCGCAAGAGCTCACATACTAGCCCGAGATCTTTATTTTTTCAGTGTGGGATATTGGGATTCTAACATGGAACATATACGGACCTAATATAATGAATGGTTAAGATCCATATACCACATGAAGTGTAGGTTTTTCAATTCTAGGCGATATGCTCCACGGCTAGTTGAGAACTGACAATAATTAGAAAGTCATTTCATTCAGAAAATGCAGTTAACAATATTTTTTGCATTTACTTTTTGATATTTAATTTTCTTAAGTTAGATGAACTACCACTGAATTTTGAACCCTTAAACCCATCGTCTTCCACTCTTGTTCTTCCTTCCTAAAGGAAGGAAGTGCTATTAGCTTAAAATGGCAATAGCATTTACCATTGACTATTCTTATTGCACTCCAATTTATCTACTTTTTGTCTTGTCATTTGGGAATTTACTCTCTCAATGAGCATTATACATATCTTTTGTAATTTTTGTCCATGAACTTCTGCCTTACTTCCATTCTTTTCCCCTTACATATGTTCTATGCAGATTGGACAAGGAATTTTTCTCACACCTTCAATATGAGCTAGGTCAGCTTCGGTTTGCTGTTTCAAAAACTCAGGTTCCTCACTGAAACTATCTATTTGGGTCAATTTCTGAAACTATACAATCAGGCTCCTCACTGAAACTATACGTTCGGTTTGCTGATGATTTTTCTAGGATATAGAGGATAGATTGATTGAGCTGGAAGCACTGCAGAAGGCCCTGCAGGAAGGAACAGGTCTGTTTAATTTCACAAACGTTTGTGATAAAGACTTGGTGTTCTTACCTGCTTACTAAAATGCTCCATTCTCTGTTACAGAGGCATATGACAAAATGCAAACTGACCTCATTAAAGCAAAGCAGAGTCTAACCAAAGTCTTGACTTCAAAGGATGTAAAAGCAACTGTATGTGCTGCTCTTTTCACTCATGAAGCAATGAAGTTTAACAGTTATGTAATTTGTGTTGCTCAACTAAATTATCCTTGACAATGCAGTTACTAGAGATGGTTGAGCGCAATGAACTTAATAGATCCTTCTTGACACTTCTTGATGAAAACATTGCAAACGCACACAAGGGCAACCAGGTAAATCACCTTGGGAAAACTTCTTTCATATTGCCTGAGTTAATTCATTTCATTCTTTGTTTGTAATTTCGACTTGAGGCAGATACATTGCAAGTTCCCTTACAAAACATAAAATTTTCACCTTTAACATGCTATTACTCACTAGCCGTGGGACCATTTTTTTAGTACCAGAAAAATAGGGTAGTGGATGTTCTGATGAAATTTTAAACTACTGCAAGTGAAGGTAGAATATCTAAAACAGCACTTTCTCTTAGTCACGTACTCAACTTAAAAAATGCAATTTAGTTCCTTCTTCTGTCCCCTCACCGCTAATTGATGAACCAAAAGTCAGTTTTTGTATGAAGAAAAAACTGCCTGAATGCTAACCTAGTATGCAGAAATTATAAAACGATTGCTACTTTGTTGGACTGATCCACTCTTGCCTAGACACATCGGGTTACTTGCTTGAGATGGCCCGAGAAGAGTTCACATAGAGAGGATTTAGAGGAGTAGTAAAAGTGCAAGTGGTTTGCTGTTGTGAAACTTAATCAAACGTAACTTTATTTTGGTCTCTTCATTTGTACCTGAATTCAACTTCTCGTAGAGGTAAAAATCTTCTTTGCATCTAAGTACACCAATCACAGGTCCACTTATCCTATATACTATTTGAACTCCTATAGTTGATGAATTCTTGACGCAGACGCACCGAAAAAAAAACAAAGAAGTTAAATGTTTATTCAGTAACTGTAACTGCATCCATGGTGAATTAAAATCTGAAGATCTATGTCAATGTTAAATTATGACTTGCAGAAGCAAGCAGCTGATTTCATGGAAAAGCTTCGTGGGGCTGTTCTCAAGTACATGACAGTTTAGTGCTGAGGTGGTAAATATTAAGCGGTTGATTAGTCTCTTAGATGAAGTTTTTCTGACTTTGATTGTCCACATTGTGTTGCCACACTACATTCAGTAGATTATGTTTTTAGACTACCAAAAAAAGGGGAAATTGTAAAACATTGGGAGTACTATTGTATCAATAAATGTTTTTATATGCTATATACATCCTAGATCTTTCTACTATAATGGAGAAATCACAAAATTCAGAATCATCATACCGTAGGATGAGACTGATTTATAACAACAAATTAAATAAGGCTAAATCAAGTGTGAAGTCATAATCTATTGATGTGTATTCAGTGAAACAATGGTTATGGAGTCACTGTCTTTAATTTTCTTGTTCAGCAAAACAACTTTGTAATTTATCGTTTTTATTTTTATTTTTGATGTTTTCATGTTGGTAGTTGATTAATTCATAGAAGCTGACAGTGGATGTCCTTTTGATTCCTTGAGAACCAGTGATTATTGGAAAGTGGTCACTGATTTGGAAAGCACTGAACAGGCATAAAGTGAAATGCAGTACAATGTGTGGCACAGGAGTTTCTGCTTTTTTCGCATGTATGCCAAGCAATCTTTCTATTAGAGAGATGCTCTTGGAGGCTATTGGTTGGTCGTGTAAGAAGTCTATGCTTGAAACTTGGAACAGAACTATGCCTTAGTTTCCTCTCTCTACAATTAGGTGCGAGAACAACTTAGGGTAGAAAATAGCATCTGAAGATTTTGCACACACAAATCCAGCCACAATGATTGGTCAAGATTTAAGTGTGAAATAATGTCCCTTTGTGCGGTTTTTCGGCATTTTACGGGGTGCAGATTGAGTACGCGCTTGCCACTACTCGGTTTGAATAAGCGTAGGTAGAACTAAAGAACCAAAGAATTGCAAACACTAGTAGTACAATGATTGAGAAAGCACTTGAGGAACAAGTAACGATGCTAGTTACAAAAACTTAAGGGGTTATATGAATAAAATGTCAACGTTCTTCTAATAGAAGCGCTTCTTGAGCAGAAGTGCTTCCTGCAGAAGCAGTCCCAAACAGACTTAGATGATTTAATTTATCTTTGATATCCTTTACGCACTTAAGATTATGCGATGTCCACAACCTTTGCCTTGTCTATTAATTTCTAAGTGCCTCAGTCAGTGCCCTAGCCGGGTTTCGTTCTCAAACAACGACATGTAGGCTTTTGCATAATGCATGATCACTTTTTTCTGTGTGCGCACTTAGATGAAGGTGGGTAATATAGTATGCAATAGGGTTTTGAGAAAGTTGCCATTTAGTACAATCTATCAATAATTTATGTATATAGTTATTAGCCCTTTTGTATCATGATCTGCAAGTTGCTTAATAATATAGTTATTATTACTCTTCAATTAATTATTGACTAATTGTTAGGTGGAAAATCACACAAGTTCAGCCTTATTTAACAGTATTTCAACACTAGATTAATGTCTGTTGGTCAAATTTTACTTTGATTATGCTTTTGGCCCAAACCCTATTGAAATCAATGAGATAAAGTAGATTAGGTGCTTTGGAATTTAAAAGGGTTAGGCTTGCATTTACTCCAAACTTCTACAGTAGAGGAGATGAGAAGATGAGGATTTAACCGAAGAAAACTGGTGATCTTAAATTCCTTGCAACCAAACAGGGTGGAAAAAAAGTAAAGAACAACAAAGAGACTAAGAGGAAAAAAAAATAAACGGAAGGCAGTAGAAGCAGCTAAAAGAAAAGTAGGCATGTGACTACTTTTATTTAATCTCCAAGGAAGATTTTAAAAAAACTTCTAAAAATTCTCTCTATATAACTCACTATCTTTTTTTGATTCCATGCCATTCAAATCCTCCTGTCCCTCTCCATATCTTTGCAGACATGGCAAGACTTGGTGTTGGCCTTTCCTTTTTGGTTATCTTCCATATTCTTCACATGTTTGGTGCAGCAGACTCCACCATTGCCAGACACTCAAGCCCCACAGCTTTCATCAAAGCCGCATGCAGGGCCACTGATTATCCTGCACTGTGTGTTCAAAGCCTTGCAGGCTACGCAAGTGCCATCAGACATAGTGAAAGACAGTTAGCTCAAACTGCTTTGACAGTGAGCCTAGCCCGGGTGCGGTCGGCTCAATCCTATGTGGCCAAGTTGACTAGAGTCAGGGGGATCAAGCCTAGGGAGTACAGAGCTGTGAAAGACTGCATAGAGAACATGGGTGATAGCGTCGACCGGCTTGGCCAATCGGTTAGGGAACTTGGCCAGACCGGTGGAGCCTTTGGCCAGGACTTCATGTGGCACATGAGCAATGTGGAGACTTGGGTTAGTGCTGCTCTCACTGATGAAAGCACTTGTCTTGATGGGTTTTCTGGTCGTTTCATGGATGGGAATATAAAGACAGCTATAACAAGAAGGATCAATAATGTTGCTCAGGTTACTAGCAATGCATTAGCCCTGGTTAATCGCTTCGCTGCAAAACACAGGGCAGCCTCAGCTGCCAAGCAGCCTTAGATTTTGATTTTGTCTGGTTGTATAATGTAAATGTGAAATGGTATTAGTAGGGTTTGTGCCTGGTTTAGATCTTGCCTCTGAAAGTCTTGTTCTTGTTGGTTGATGTGTAAAATGAAACAATCTCTCTCTAGGGCCTAAAGTTTTGTACCAAGATCTTCTGTCTTGTGTAATATATGGACTCTGTTTTTTTTTCTTTTTAAATATCTACTTATAAAATCAGTCATCAATTTGAACTCTGTTGAACTCAAACTGGAAGAACATGAGTTCACAACCTGATTTTCATGTTCACCTGGATGAGCTAAAGCATCCCTCATTTAGCTTTCTTTTAAAATCTGATATGATGATATACACAGATTTAGCTTTTAGCTTTTCTAGAAAGCAATTCCTGGAATCTTCTTGTCAGTTCATTGTCTGTTCCGCACAATACAATCCATGTGGGTTCCATTATTGTGTGGTGAATCATATATATATATATAACGAAGCAACACACGAAAGCTCATCATGCCAAGGAGAGGCAGGGGACAGTGGTTAAAGCAATGGCAAGCATCATTTCAATGTGATTAGCTTTGGACGACCAAATCTAGTGTTATGAATGCAAATCTTCTAAAGATTAATAAAATACAAAATTTGAGCGAGCCTTATCCTTTCGTGAATGGAATGGGATGGGACATGTTGATTAAATTTTTTCACTTGAAAGTTGAAACATTGTGGAATCAGCAAAGCTGCTTCTGATTAGACGTGTGCTTGAAATACTACCAAAGTGCCTAATTAAGCTTAGGAAGAATCAGCCTAGTCATATTGATTGAGCATGGAAAGGAAGATGAGGGCAAAGGAGAAAGTTCCATTTGGTAATTGATCTTGGAGATTAGTGGGTTGACAGAGACCATGCTGGGAAGCCACCTACTTACGCATATGAATTGGGAACCATTAGTTTATTGAAGGTCTAAATACATCCTCAGTCCCCATAAAAATGACTTCCATAAAAGTGACTTGTGGACAATGTCATGTGAAGATCATCTGCCATGGATGTCACATGTATGTACCTCCCTTCTTTGTTAAAATGACGGATTTTGTATTGATATTTTAGATAATAATATTGATAATGTGTTTTGTTATTGACAATGATATCGACACATTACCAATACCATAACATCAATATTAAAGGAAAAGGGAGGCAGAACAGAAGGGTGCAGTAAATCACACACTGTGCCTAAGAATCCTAAATTTATATAAAATATTTATTCAATGAGGAAAAAGAAGTTGTAGAAACTGGTGTAGATAAAGATCCCCATGCATTTCCTTTTGTTCAGGCTTCACAGCAGCTAAGAGTTGGAATTTGCGTACGATTAAACTGTACTCATGATGCTTATTAGTGGTGGTCACAGCAGGTTTGTTTACTGGTTTGATTTTTTATTTTATAATATTTATCATCATATCATCGAGGTTCCACTAAAAACAAACTGTTAGACAGTAATTCATCAGGGTTTAGAGGTATATAACCACTGTACAATATTGTATTCTCAAGACATGGTTTTGGTGATACCAAGCTAATTTTAAAAAAAAAGAAACATGCTTAGCCAAATTTGCAGCTAGAGCTTGTGTTTTATCATACACAAAAGAGATCCATTTGGGATTTGTTCTACCAGACTTTGTATGCACTTTCCTATCAGGCATAATTACTGCAGATACAGTCAGCTGGTTCAGAAAAAGTCATTTGTCCTCATACACAAAGCCAAGGATAAGATCAAATCCCACCTTTCTTAGGATTTTGATGGGGAAATTAAAAAAGAAGATCAAAGTTATTGTCTCTCATATTAGGATATATATAATCAATTAAATATCTCTAGTTTAAACTATCACTTATAATGATTATAAAAAAATAAAAATAAAAATAAAAATAAAAAGAAGACCAATTCTTCTTTCTAATCTCTTGCTTTCCACATGGGATTTTTCAGCATCAGGTAATCAAGAGCATGATTAAATTGTTGCATTATTGAAAACAATTAACAGAAGTAGCTATCCCATATTTATGAATCCAAACTAAGACAAACACATCCCCATCAATCACTTTGAAAATTCTTTTTATGTCCAAGAGAACAATGTTTAGAGAAAGCAATTGGGCAATTTGCAATGGCCGACTTCAAAACCCAATTAGAAACGTGCACGATTCTCTGCTGCTAAATCCTGAGTAGGATTAACAGCAAAGTATCCGTCAGTGTGATGCATTAGGTGTCTTATTTTGACTTAGTCAAGATATTTATGTAGTTTTTTTTTTTAATATGGAAAATGAATCTGCTAAAAAACAAATGAAGATAATTAAAAATTAATATTGATGATGTTATGTTTGGCCTCTACCAATTTTCCAAATTTTTAATGATTGAGTTATCACTATGTCCGAAAGGGGAACACATTCTGAACTAGATGCCCTTGAAATTTTCCAAGAATCCATCTCATCAAGCATTTTCCTCCCAATAAGTGGGAACCACAAAGCTTTAGGTTTTCTATATATAATCAGAGAACCCTTTGCTTTGCTCTACACATTCATCAAGCTCTCAAACTTCATCAATGGAAGGTTATCTTATGCCTGCACTACTATTAGCTCTGCATATTCTCCAATTATTCAATCACATAAACCCCTGCACAGCCACTGGCAAAACAAACACTCAATACATAAAAAAATCATGCAGTGTCACAATTTATCCTAGATTGTGCTACCACAGCCTCTCAATCTATGCCGGAAAGATCAAGACCGACCCGAAAGTACTAGCTCATACTGCACTCAATGTGACCCTTGCAGCCACCCAAGAAAGTTCTGTGATAATGAGAAGGTTGTCAGAAATCCATGGTTTGAAGCCTATAGAGACTGCAGCAGTGCTTGATTGTATGGAGGAGATTGGTGACGCTATCGACGAGCTTCAACAGTCCTTGGATGAGCTTGGTCATGTAGGTAGAGGCTCAAATTTCTGGTTTCAAATGAGTGATATTCAAACATGGGTTAGTGCTGCGTTGACAGATGAGGATACCTGCATGGATGGGTTTGAAGAGCATCATCTGAGAGGCAGGGTGGAGGCTGTTGTCCGTAGGTACACAGTGAATGTTGCACATCTGACAAGCAATGCTTTGGCACTCATCAACAGCTATGCCTCATCTAAAGCTGCCTTGCCTTAGATTCTGTTTGGTTCTCGGGAAAGGTACAAGGGAAACAAATTTTCTTAGCACTCAAGAAAAATAAGCCCCAATATTTTAGTCTCTTAGCTGCTGTCAAATCCATGTAAAAACCTGAAAAACATAATCATTTGATATAAAAGCTGCTAGAAATGTGAGAGGGTGGGAAGTTGCTTTTGGATTGCATGTGTGTGATCGAGTGTTCTAGTAAAGAAGATCAACTCAATGTTTTTGTAGAAGTCATTTCCTTTTGGATTGTGGAATATTGGGATGTAAATAGCCAGATATATACTACACCTGAATGAATATCAAGCTGTAAGTTTTTTTGGGGTATTTTTTTTATGTTCTGATTTCATACGAAGAATTACAAACAAAAAATCTGAAACAAACCCCAAGCAAAAAGCTTATTTTTCACGTCAATTGAGATCATAACAGGATGATATGACTCATGGATATATGGCTTTTGCGTGCCAATAAAGTCAAAGAATGACACGCCTGGGCCCTTTTCTCATTCATTTTCATGAAAGGAATGTTAAAACTCTTTGGTTTGAAATACGAGACTCTGCTTATTGGTCCTCATTGACGGTCAGAAAGTAAACCATTTAATTTAAGGCTACAATTCATGCAGCTGGTTTTGAGGTAACAAAGTTTCTACAATTCATGCAGCTGGTTGTGTGTATACTCTAATCACCTCTTGCTTAGCATAAATTAGTGGCATCTAAATTTCTACGTTTTGTACCTTTAGCTAGGGTAAAATTGGCGGGGGCTTCAGTGGGAAATCTATGTTAGGCAGGGTTTGGAGGTAACAAAGTTTGCAAGGCATGACAGGGACTTGTCAATAATTACAGATCAATCATTTGTTTTATTACTCGATATAAAACTGCTCTACACATCATCTTTTATATATAAATTATAATAAAACGATAAATGGTAACAGTTATTTTACCAGCAATCAGATCCTTTACAACCATTGAACCATAGTTTATGAGTCTGAGAGAACCTTAGTCAGGGTGCTCTGTATTGATGCAACAGAATCTATGGCAGATTTTGTGAGCCAGCTGATTCCTACTTTAAGCCTATGCTCATCAGTTGGTAATCGAATCAAGTATGCTAATTTCCTCGCGGTATGGCCAATAGGACCTTCTAAAGTTAGCCCCTCAATGAAACTTGGAGAGATAGCTGCATCATTTCTCCCCAGAGTTATCATCTCACCTAAATTCTGAAACCTAAATGGCAAAAGAGGACGGTCATTGATTGCAGCCCACAGATTCCAGCCAGCAAAGTCCGCTTGCTGAAAAGCAACCTGTGCGGTCGAAGGAAGTAGCCTTCCACTGGATTCCCTTAAAGCACAAGAATCACCAACTGCAAATATGCGTGGGTGGCCGTTAACACGAAGAGTTTCATCTGTTTCAGCTTGTCCCCGGGCATTTAAGGGAAGGTCATAGGGCCTGTCACGGGGTTCCAGCTTAGGAAGAAGAGATTTATTCCCAACAGTCCATAATACAATATCTGCTTCCACAGTTTGACTTTGTAATCCCCTTTGAGCAGGTTGAAGTTCCAATATATATTTCTCAGAATCATGTTGAGCAACACCTATGCTCTTTGTTGGCTTTTCTGAAGCTTCCAGATCAACATCTCTACGAATACAACGGACAACATAACCCAACAAAAGTTCAACTTTCCTGGATGAGAGAACTTTAATTGCAGCTTCCCTATTGCCAGGTGGGGCATTCGGGCAGATTGTGGTTTCCACATTAATTGCTTGTACTGTACCTCTATCCTGCAGTCTCTCTGATACGGTGGCAGCTAACTCAACTCCAGAGTAACCACAACCAACCACAGCCACACGAATGGCAGATTCTTTACGGAAGTTCCTCCTCTCCAATGTTCTTAACTTATGATCAACTTTACGAGCATCCTCCAGGGTGGAGAATGGCAATGCGAACTCTATTGCTCCTGGTACAACATCAAGCTTAGCTTCAGCTCCCAAAGCAAGAACTAGCCAGTCATATTCAACAAGGAGACCACTTTCAAGCAGCACAGATCCCCCACGACTGGATTGCGTAGGTCCATTCACTTCCAAATGATCAGAGGGGTATAATAGTTTGGCCTTGTCTTGAAAAAACAGCACACTTGTATTTGCCAGCAAATCTGAAAAACGAGGAGCTATCTCCCATGCATCTACTTCTCCAGACAGAAGCTCATACAGCATTGGCTTAAAAACAAAGCGTTCAGACTGGTCAACAAGGATCACCTGAGGTTTCTTGTCATCAGGCCATTCCAAAGATTCTAGTCTTAACGCAGTATATAGACCTCCAAACCCACCACCTAGTATACATACCCTTGGTCTCTTCTTATCTGGCCAAGAATATAACTGAGGTGCAGTTTCAGCTTCAGGTATCTCTGCAACATTTCCATTCGTCCCAGAGGCACTGGAAGCAACAGCAAACCGAAATCCTTTCTGTTGAGAACTCGCAGATAATGATATGTTGGTCTCACCACATCTTCTTGAGAAACCAGGAAATAGTCTAGCCAAGTGCTTTGCCCTAGAATTGAATGGTACAAAACTTGCTGAAGCAGCTAATGCAACTGATGACATCATTTGAGCTTATCGCTGTAATAATAAAAAAGATAGAGCCAACTGAACTTCCCATTTTCTATTTCCATAGTTTTATAAAAGAGGGATCCATTGACATCATGATAAGGCAACATGTATAACCATATTAACATGAATTCCTATGGAAATAAAATAATAAGTTGTCAAGCTAAAAGTAAACAAGATAAAATGTTAATCATTGATATAAATGTGCAGGAGCAGAACCAAGATCACTATTTGGGGTGTGCCAAACCAAATTCATCATCTTACATCCACCAAATTCCCCAATTATTAGTCAAAAAAGATAGGCATTCTATCAGTAAGAAAACAGGAACAAATCAAATGCACCCTAATAGCAGATTAGCACCAGAATTATCTATCACAAGACCAAATGCAAAAAAACCCACAATATCCAAAAACAGATAAGGAACCAAGCAATCAGCAAATCAGAAACACAGCAGGTTCTCAATTCTAAACTCACACAGCAAACAAGAAAACCATAAACTTCTAAACAAATTTAAAAAGGAAAAGAAAGGAAATTAACAAATACCTTTTTGTGGGTAATGCGTTACGTCATCACTGCAAAAGACTGGAGAAGAATTGGAGGAGAAGAACTGAAGAAGAATATGGAAAGCGGGCAGATGAGACTGAGAAAGAAGAAGGCGGGTTGGGCTTGGGGCTTAGAGATGGGTTATGGGCTTTACCGGAACACGTGCATTGCTCCTATCTGCAACTTTGCATGGACCCCAATCCGATTTTAGGATATTATACGTGGCAGCTTCGCAGCCCTTGTTCTCCTCCAAGGCTAACATTTTTTAACAAGATTTATTTTCTTTGTGCAGAAAATAAAATAGACTAATTTAACATCAATAATTTAAATAATAATTAAAAACCTAACATAAAAAAGTTCCATGTCATACTTGGTTTTTATTTTCAATTATGAATAAATTAGGGTTAGAATTTTCTTTCGTATTCTAATTTAGTCGAAATTTATCAACTAATTTTTAATTTAGTGATATTTTTCTTTTTAAAGATGAAAAAGATTTTGTGTTTAGCCGATGATAGAAAGATATTCAAAAATGTAGAATTAAATATATAAAATTTAGCTAAATTATGTGGAGATTAATTATGTTAGGTAGTATATTGGGGTGAAGGGCAAAAGTATTATTCCATTGATTTATGTATTTATATTTTAATTATTGGTGCATTTTCGTTCTTCAAATTTATGAAATTCCAAAACTATCTTAAGGTCCAGAATGTCCTGAACAGAAAGCTCCCTAAAGACCCAAACGCACAAGCACCTCTTGGTTTTTCGTTATCCCCAACTCACCACGCTTCCACAACCCAAACCCATACGGGTTATATCAGGTAGGGCGCCAAAACACCCCCCAACGAACCTCTCTCTTTGTCCCTCTCTCTCTCTCTCTCTCTCTCTCTCTCTCTCTCTGTTTCTCTCTCACACACAAACAGATAAGAAAAATGGCTACAGAGTCAGTGAGAGTGTACAGTTTCAGCTTCAATGGGTCTCAGACAAGGCCAGCCATTCCTCTCTCGCCAGCTCGCTTTCTGGGTCTTCGTCGCCGACCCTCTTCTTCTCTCACCTCATCTTCGCTTTCCCACTTCTTTGGGAATGTGCGGCTAAGCAGTTCCAACTCCTCAAAGCTCTCTATTTTACGCCAACAGAGCCGAAGAAACCTCTCTGTTGTCGCTATGGCTGCTGATGGTATTTTTCTCCTCCTGTTCTATCTCTTTCTATTCTTTAACTGCTACTATCTTGTTGAATTTTTGTTCTTTAAAGTGTTTTCCGGGTATCCAATTGCCCAGGTTGTTGAATTTGGGTTATTCTGTGAGATTGTATTCATTTTGTTTTGGTTCTTAGTTTAAGTGAATCAGAGTGAATATTTATAACCAAAAGCATGATCTTTTAAGTTATAATAATTGACCCTCATGTTTTGTTTAGGACTTTGCTATTCTAATATGTCTTCTTGAGAAGATATGGACCGTATGGTTTATGTATTCCATTGTTATCTACTTCTCTGACTTCATTGTCAATTTGCAACCCGATTAGCGTAGTGTCTTCCCGCTATATTGTAGTTTAATTTAAGTTTATTGAAGGAGAGTAGATGAATGTTCTATGCATATGAGTTTGACATCCATTTAATTGTCTCTGGAACTTATAATGATATGAATTCAATCTTTTGGAATGTGCACAAATGTTGCCCTTCCCAACAATTCTGGGAGTTAGCATCTCCATGGTTATTTAGCTACTTTGATGTTAGATGGGAACACAATATTAATGTTTTTACTGTCTTTCCAAGGGCATGTTATAACTCAACGGTGTTCCATAATAATACATTTCTTGGGGTTTCTTTAACTGACTTTATAACTATGTCTGAAAACTCTTTGTACTTTTTTCAGTTTGCTTTTGATTTTTGTAAAAATGTTAGTTTATCAGCTGACGTAGCAGAGCTGAATATATTTTATTTGTTTATCTGTATGACAGATGGAAAGCGTGCAGTGCCATTAGAAGATTATCGCAATATAGGAATTATGGCTCACATAGATGCGGGGAAGACTACTACAACTGAACGGATTTTGTTTTATACTGGAAGAAACTATAAAATAGGGGAGGTGCACGAAGGAACAGCAACTATGGACTGGATGGAGCAAGAACAAGAAAGAGGCATTACCATAACTTCTGCTGCAACCACAACATTTTGGGACAAACACAGGATTAACATTATTGATACTCCTGGCCATGTTGACTTCACCCTTGAAGTGGAGCGAGCTCTCAGAGTATTGGATGGTGCTATATGTTTGTTTGACAGTGTTGCTGGTGTGGAACCTCAATCTGAAACTGTGTGGAGACAAGCTGATAGATATGGAGTGCCCAGAATTTGCTTTGTCAATAAAATGGATCGTCTTGGAGCAAACTTTTTCAGAACAAGAGACATGATAGTGACAAACTTGGGTGCCAAACCACTTGTACTTCAAATTCCAGTAGGTGCAGAAGATAATTTTAAGGGAGTTATTGATCTCGTGAAGATGAGAGCTATACTTTGGTCTGGAGAAGAGTTGGGTGCGAAATTTGTTTACGAGGATATTCCATCTGATCTTCTGGAGCTGGCTCAAGAATATAGGTCACAGATGATAGAAACCATTGTTGAGTTAGACGATGAAGCTATGGAGGGCTATCTAGAAGGAGTTGAACCTGATGAAGAAACCATTAAGAAATTAATTAGGAAGGGAACCATCTCAATTAGTTTTGTGCCAGTGTTATGTGGCTCAGCTTTTAAAAATAAGGGGGTACAACCTTTGCTTGATGCTGTCGTGGATTATTTGCCTTCACCTCTTGACGTGCCACCAATGAAGGGGACTGATGCAGATAACCCAGAAATCATTATTGAGAGGGCTGCAAGTGATGATGAACCATTTGCTGGGCTAGCATTCAAGATCATGAGCGATCCATTTGTGGGATCCCTTACATTTGTGAGAATCTATGCAGGAAAGCTAGCTGCTGGATCCTATGTACTGAATGCAAACAAGGGAAAAAAGGAGAGGATTGGCAGACTTCTAGAAATGCACGCAAACAGTAGGGAGGATGTTAAGGTAGCTTTAGCTGGTGATATTGTTGCGCTTGCAGGCCTAAAAGATACCATTACAGGTGAAACATTGAGTGACCCTGAGCATCCTATTGTGCTTGAAAGAATGGACTTCCCTGATCCTGTAATTAAGGTGGCAATTGAACCCAAAACTAAAGCTGATGTTGATAAGATGGGAGCTGGTTTGGTTAAGCTTGCTCAAGAAGACCCTTCTTTCCACTTCTCACGGGATGAAGAGATCAATCAGACAGTTATTGAAGGGATGGGAGAATTGCATCTTGAGATTATTGTTGATCGGCTCAAAAGGGAATTCAAGGTCTGTATCTGCTACTCCATGTTATTTCTGATTCTTTATTTTCCAGCATAAAGATGTTAGATATTGTTTTTATTCGTGTTTGTTTTCTGTTTTGGTATATTGTCTTAATCTCACCTATGTTATGCTTGTATCTTATGTGTACAGTTATTCTCTGTACAGGACTTCCGTTCTTTATTAAAGAACAGATGTCAATTCATTGTCGATAATGTGTCAATAACAAAACGGGCCAACATGTTATCAATTCATGATTGACAATATTGATACAAAATCCGTCCTTTGGCAAAGGAGGGAGGTCCTGCATAGAGAATTTCAACTTCTGTATGTGTGTATAAATATTAGTTTGCATCTACCTACAGACATAAGCATTTTATACACCTTTTTGAGTTTTTGTGAAACTGATTTGCACACAGACGTGATCCTTTTCTAGATTTCACTTGAAATGCTATATTGTGGTTTCTTGAAAATTTTCAATGAATGAATCCTTTGGATGTATTGCTGATTTGAATTTTCATAACTGGGGTTGCTTCATCTGTACAGGTTGAAGCCAATGTTGGAGCACCCCAGGTAAATTACAGGGAAAGTATTTCCAGGGTTGCAGAAACGAGGTATGTGCACAAGAAACAATCGGGTGGACAAGGTCAATTTGCTGATGTCACCGTGCGGTTTGAACCCATGGAGCCTGGTAGTGGATACGAGTTCAAGAGTGAAATCAAGGGAGGTGCTGTGCCAAGAGAATACGTACCTGGGGTGATGAAAGGATTAGAGGAGTGTATGAGCAACGGTGTGCTTGCAGGCTTTCCTGTCGTTGATGTACGCGCTGTACTAGTTGATGGCTCTTACCATGATGTCGACTCAAGTGTGTTAGCATTCCAATTGGCAGCCAGAGGAGCTTTCCGGGAGGGGATAAAGAAAGCTGCCCCGAAAATGCTTGAACCGATAATGAAAGTCGAAGTTGTTACACCTGAGGAACACCTGGGAGATGTGATCGGTGATCTCAACTCAAGGAGAGGTCAGATCAACAGCTTCAATGATAAACCTGGTGGTCTCAAGGTATGTCTAAAGACTCATGACCGGATTATGTGATGTTAGTGGCCTTCAAATTGTTTCACCGACTAATCGAATTACTATTATGTTGCTAATAATCTGTATTTTTGCAGGTGGTTGATGCGCTGGTTCCTCTTGCAGAGATGTTCCAATATGTTAGTACACTGCGGGGCATGACAAAAGGTCGTGCATCCTATACCATGCAATTAGCTAAGTTCGATGTTGTTCCTCAGCACATTCAGAACCAGCTTGCTGCCAAGGAGGAAGAAGTTGCAGCTTGATTTTGTTTCCCTGTGTAATCAGGGACCACTAAAATATTTCCCGACTCATTATTTAAGATCCAAGAAAAACGAGGGTTGTTCTTCCTTATTTTTCATTTTTATTTTTAACTCTGTAGCAAAAGACGTAAAAGAGTGCATAGCAATTTTTCCTCGAAAAAGGACGCTACGGTTTTGATCTTGACAAAATCTTAAGACCAACACAAAATATGCAATAAAAATTGTAATTCTGCACAATTTTGGTCATCCGACTCTTGCTTGCGGGGCACAGCAGAAGATGGAGAAATGGGCATTTGGCCTCATTCCCATTGTTGTGTTTCATTGTAACATAGTTACTTGCTCCGCAAGAGCCAATATAAGCCAAAAACCACCACGCCCATTTTTGAACAATAAATAATACCACACCTTAATTTTGTTGCACACTGAGAGAGCATGAGAGATAGAGAGAACACTGAGAGAAAGCAAGAGAGAGAGAGATCTAACATATCAAAAACATCCACACTAGTATTGAAACGCAAAATTTTCCAAAATGAAAAGTTGTGAGCTAATTACTCAAAATGGACATCGGAAAGTTACAGTTTGAATGAGCAAAGGCTTCTTTTTTACGTGATTGTATCTTTCCTTTAAGTTCATCTAAGCTGGACAATTCCAGCACTGACCAGCTTCTGGATCTTGTTCATCACCATTGGGTTCTTTGTGTGTTCCTGAGCTGCCTTGGGATTTTCCTGGAAATCAATCAACACCTGAACACATCCCAAAAAAAAATATAAATTAAAATTTAGCCCCTTCATACGCCACACATAAAAATGAAACTGAAATAACAAGTTAACATCCGAAGCAAACGCTCTAAATTATGCTGACCTGTCTCATAACAGGATCTTGGAGGATATTCTGAATTTCTGGGTCCTGCATTCCTTTAGCCTGCAAGAAGCATCAAATTCAATAACATATTCCAATCTCAAGGAATCCACTCAGTGTCGAAGAATGTTCAAGAAAGCCATACCTGTCTCTCCTTCAATTCATCGGGACTTAGATCCCCACGGCTAGCTTTGTTGATTTGCTGAACACATCTGCAATCAATTTCAAATTGTCACATACATTTAACATACAGTTAACATGAAGTAGAATTCAGAACAGCAAATTCTAGTCTTGTAAACACACCTTCGCACACCATCAAGCAATTCCTGGTTGCTAGCATCATGTTTTAACCCCTCCTGGTATGTTTCCAAAGCTTTCTCATATTCTTTCATGAAAAACTGGACAGCACCTTTTCTGGTATAACCCTTTGCAAAGGTTGGATCAAGCTCAATGCACTTCTCTGCATCCTTCAATCCCTCGGGCATTGCCCCGAGTTTTGTATAGCAAGCAGCTCTGTTACTATATGCCTGCAACACCATATAACATGTCACAAAATATTAAAAGCAATTTGGATTATCAACTATAAGTACATTGGAGGTTCTCCCACCTTTGGATCCTTGGGGTTCCTTCTCAAAGATTCAGTGTAATGCTTAATAGCCTCTGGGTACTTTTGCTGCTTGAAATATTCATTGCCTGCAAATCACCGGCAAACAGTCAAGTTAGAAATGCATGGACAGAAACAACGTTTTCCCCACAATCTTCCAATCACACTGAAGTACAACCCCACTCTCACACGGACACAACTAAAGTACTTGTAGCCACTGAATTTCTAACCTAAGAAGCAGGTTCGCAGCATCATATGAGTCATATGAGCCTATGGTTCTACCAAAACGAAATGAGTCATGAAAACAGGATGCAATTCATGCATAAATATGCAAGTACGATGGAAGAGACACCAGCTATAAAAAAAGCATTTAAAAGATCCAAAGGTTACAAGCACATCAAACAGAAGGACAAACCTTTCTCACGCTCCTCATCAGCTAACTTTGGATCAAAATACTCTTGTTGCTCTAGCTCCTTCTTTGCTTTCTCAGCATCATTCAATTTCTTCAATGTATCTGGGTTGCGATGCTCTGTGAGAGCTTTCTGGAACATCTCAATAGCAGGTTCAAAGTCCTTCGAGCCTTTTGCCATCTTCACCAGCGCGGTTCCCTTCCTAGTCAAAGCCTTTGCGATCATTTTATAGTCTGCCCTTTGCTCTCTTCCCCTTTCCACAGCCTTGTCACAGTCTTTAATACAGTCCTCCAACTGACAGAATATAATAGCGACCCATGCATCAACATCACTAACAAGCTAAAAGATATCAAGGTGGCAAGACAGATAGTTTCCAACAATACTATTTCCCTCTTTAACACAAGGAAAATCAAAGGTAACATAATAAGCATGGTATGAACAAGTGGAGAGTGGAAACAAACACCACAACACTGAAATTATAGGAAATCAAAATATGAAATAAAAGAGGCACGCATGAATCCAAAATTAGTTTCACTGTTTCACGATAGTCCACCACATCCAAATTGCTATATAAAAGAGAATGATTGAAATTTAGGTAAGCACAAAGGCTGGGCCTCAGTTGAGCAGGCATAATTAGAAGGACATCTCAAGGCCAAAGTTGTCAGTCTCTAAGGAAAAACAAGAACAACATGTACAAGAGACACAAACAAGAGGTCAGGTAAGTCAAACTGAATCCAATCTGAGAGGGCTCAGAGCTCAGCAGCTACGCAGAAGTCCATTGTCATCAATTTGTTCATTTTTTAATAATAAGCAGTAGAAAAATGAGTAAGGGTTATGAAAGATAAAACCCATCTGAAAGAGCTAATCTAGGTACTCTATAAACCACCAAATGTTATTGTATTGGCCGAATTAACATACTAGGTTTCTAAATCACACCAATCTCCTCTTTTCCTTGAAGCAATGAAATTACTGCATTAAGCAACTTCATCCAAACCCATAAAAAATTGATTATTTATGCTAACAATACAAGCTCATAGTCAACCGTACTAACTTCAACAAAACAAAATCCCACAAGTAAAAACTACTATGCAATTTAACCAAAAACCAATCACCAAACACTAGATATGCATTCCATACCTGACCCATCTCCAAATATGTCGCAGCGCGATTCATGATATACGAAATGTCCTCATCATCCAACTCCATAGCCTTGGTATAGTGCTGAATGGCAGTGTCGAAGTCCTTCTTCTTGTAAGCGGCATTGCCAGCTTCCTTCTCCTTTATGGCCTCGGCTTTCCTCTTCTTGGCCTCACTCTCCTCTTCGCTCACCTCCATCGGCTCCGGCTCAGACTTCTTCTCCTCCTTCCGCGGCTCGGGTTGTTTCGGCGCCGGCGGAGAATCCGGTATCTCCTCATCCTCCGCTCCCGCCGGCCCACCGCGAAGCTTCACGTTGAGCAAAACCCCAAGGGCTTGCATAACCCTCTGGTCCTTCAAATACAGATTGAGATTGCTAGGGTTTGTCTGAATCTCCTGCATCATTTTCACAAAATCGGGCTGCTGCAAAAAGGCACGGGTCGACGGGTCGGCCGTGAGCTTGGCCCACATCTCGGGACCCGAGAACGCGTCCCCAAATGGATTCATAGGCGAGGCTCCGGCGCGTGACCGAGCCGCACCGGCCTGAGCGTCGGCCAAGCCGGACTTAAGAGCCTCGTTGTTGGGATCGATCTCGAGACCTCTCTTGTACGCCGAGATGGCGTCACTGTACTGGCCCAAGCCGACGTGAGCCGCGCCGAGGCGGCTGTAGCCTTTGCCCCAATCGGGCTTAACCTCGACGGTCTTCTTGGCATCGGCTAGGGCTTCGGAGTATTTGTTGAGCGATGCGTAGGCGGCGGATCGGTTGGAGTAGAGGACATGGTTGGTGGGAGCGAGGTTGATGGCTTCCGTAAAATGAGTGACGGCGGCGTTAAAGTCGCCGGATGAGAAAGCTGCGTTGCCTTTGCTTTGGCTTCGTCGGCCATTGCTGCTAGATTTGGGAGAAAACGATTGCAGAAGAAGTTGAGGGATTGCGGGTGTGGGGGATTGAGGAGGAGACGGGTAGAGCTTTATAAGATAGGAGAATGGTTTTCTTGGGGTACCAGAGACTTCTAGTGAGTGTGGGGTTTGTTTGGGGTTCTGGAACCTTCTGTTGGTCTATTGACTCTCCACTATTGGCAGTTCACGCGATATTATATACCTGTGAAATTAGTAAATAACTTTTTGTTTTCTTTAGTTCTCCTAAAAAATAGTAAAAAGGAAAATCTATTTCTAAAACACCCTACTGTACTTGTAAGAAAAAAATTAGGGAGTTTCACTAAAACACCTAAAATGGGGGTTAAAATTATAAAAAAAACCCAAGCACTATTTAAACATATAAACACACCCAAAACTCATCATTACACACACTCAAAACCCATTTATAAACACACCCAAAAAGTTGACTTTTTGGTTGATTTTGGGTGTGTTTCTATGTTTAAATAGTGTTTGGGTTTTTTATAAATACATGTTTAGGATTGGGTTTATTTATAAATTTGTAAAAAAGTTATTTATATAAACCAGAAAAAGAAAATGAACCACTAAAACGCTAGCCCCTTCACTTCTCCTACTCATCTTTTTGTGACATAATTTAAGGGACACGCTAGAAGTGACAAACGCATTGTGCAAGCTAGTCTAGTTCGTTTAGAGTTGACCCATTTGATAATCGCATCGTGTCGAATTCATATCGGGTCACTAAACAGGCAGAGATGGGCCCAGACAAAGCTCGACTTATGTATTGCATTTTTTTTGTAATTTTTTTCTTTTTACAATTTCATTTCGATCTTTTTTACAATTATGTATATACTAACAAGAATTATTAAATTGGTCAATAACTTTATTTTAAGTACATTTAAATAGTAAAGTGCTATATTATTGTTTGGATTTAAAAAATTGAAACTTGAAAAACAAAATCATATTTTATTTATAAAGAAAACATTGATTTGTAAAATATATTATTAGGGAAAAGAAGACTTGAATTTAAAAATATAATAATGTCATGCATAATTTTTGTTTTAAATAAATGTAATTTAATAACTGAGCTTAAAAGGAGTCGATCC